TATGGCATACACACATTCAAGATATTAATCATACACCATGCTAATCATTTTTCAGACTTCACAGCACCTGCTGAGACTGTTCACCCTGTTCTCCTCCATCAGCGTGTTATCCTAGCCTCTAGCGTGGCAACATTGACCTCAAGACTGCAGCATGAAGACACTTAGACTATGAACTCAGATTTATTCCTGAGGTTGAAGACACGCTTGGCATCTGTGGAGCATGGGAGTGCTGGCCAGATGACTTGGAATAGGGCACATTTCTGGTACATGTATAGGCAACATAACTAGGGTTCTAAATTGAGCCATGCATCATTTTCACATAGTAATTATATCATGATACATCCACATGTTTACACCATGAGGGAACTCATTGCAGCAACTACCTGAATCTGGACCAATACCAGTGAGTCACAGTGGAAAGATGTTTGCATGCTATAATTGGAACAGCATCCGATTTTGAGACGGTTTGGCAAGTGGGGGGGACACTTAATGGTGTGTAGTCATTCTATCTGGAAAAGGCTTTCGTGTCATAATCTGTGCAGTTGAGAGGATCCCATGAAACCCAAACACAATGAGTGTGCCTGGTCTCTGACAACATCATCCATCTCTCACTCATGGAATCGTGTCATATCTCATGCAATGCTACAACCATGACAGACGGGTTGACATCTGTGAAAGATCTCAATCGATGATACCTGTGCTTGACATGACGGCCATCCTTCTGCCACAATCCAGACAACACTCATGTGCATACACCCTGAACCCACTCCTCTAACCCAAAATCTTCTTCAGAATGAGAAAGACTTAGGTCCTTGACAAGGGTGTATGTGGTTCTTCAGTCCATCCTGATATTCAATATTGGGGAAACACTACAAGCTGGTGAGTTATATCGACTATTAAGGTACACATGGTGATGGATTAGTAGCATTTGCCACTTCCTTCTTCAGCTCCTATGTGCTTGCTTAATCAGCTCTTCGATCTCTTTGGAGGGTGTCACATTGTGAATACTGTAAGTTGCTATCTTTCTTTCTTCATCTTTCTTCATCTTTTACATCCTTATCGATCCATGCAGACTTTCCCATTCATTGATCATCAGTAATACTCTTGGTTTCAGTGGAGCAGAGACTTCGTACTTATGAATTATAGGATTCTACACCTTTCCTGTCAGCGCACCATTTCTCACAGTTAAGCATCTCCCCATCGCATGTCCCAAGAATGCTCCATTCCAGCTAACACTGATATAGATTGTTGTGCACACAACTGCCAGTTGGAATTTTACAGATCCCATGCGGTTCAGATTGAGGCTGGTGGAAATGAGTTCTTTGATTTGCCTTGACTACATCTCTTTCATCCCTGCAGATTACATCACCTGTAACATTTGAATGTACAAATGTTTGCGATAGCATGAGAAAAATTGTAAAATTCCGGCCTCAGCGGGACTTGAACGAGAAAGACAAAAAGCTTTCATATCCTCTGAACACACGACATCTAGCCGCTAGACCAAACTGTCATACTTACCATGTGTATCACTGGATTCATGAGCCCGACGCCAATGTTTACGTCTATTGACTCCTCTGGGTTTCCTTCTTGTCACTTGTCATCCATCATCCTCTCGCACTCTTTCCGTAACATTTGTCGTCATGGAAATCAGTCCTGTTGCAACCCCACGGAACGTCTTGTCCAGTCACTAGTGCACCCCGAATCATCTCCGGTCACTGCTCCCCCCGAGCTCGATGGTGTATACATCCCAACGTTCGCAAAGGCTTCAGCTGCGTACCTCCTCGAACACGTCATTCTCTGCTACAGGGTAATTTCCGGCGTCAGGTTCGCAAGCCTCTTCCAGGGTTATAGCCATAGTGCTCCTTACATGGTATGTCACGCCTAACGCGCCCCTTCTCAAGCTCACATCCCTCTTAGCATGCATTCCCCACCTCTCATCCAAGGAATACACTGAGTTCGAGCGTATTGTGGCCGCAGACAAGGCGTAATTTTCCGAACCATCCTTGGTCGGTGTTGGAACATCAAAATCATGAGTCCACCACTACAGTCTGCCCTGATTTCGACGGCATCCTGTTTACATGATTCCTCAAGTCGGGCGCAGAGCAACGAGAGTCGAAGGGGTCAAAAGTTTGAAAGAGGGTGTCTCCACTACTAGGGTGAGGCTAATAGCCCGACGAGGGTTATGGTGCTTGATCTAAAGGGTGCAGAGACGAGGGAAAGGTGATTAGGAGCCCAATTAGTCCGGAGCTAGGGATGAGGACACCATAGATGTGCATAAGCGAGTGAGAAGGACGGCGGCACATAGTGAGTTTCTTGCTTGCATGCCTAGATGCTCTCCTGACAGTCTGCCTAGTCGCTACCATCAAGTGAAACACGACCTCATTCTCGAGGCACCAACAGCCCGAGAAGACACTCAGATACCGGATGGACTACGATTCACTCCCTTCTCCGCGCCAAGCTGAACCCAGCCCGAGAATGCCCTCAGACACTATAGACGTCGATGCAGTCGCGTCTCAATTCCTGAACCAGTTGATAGCTCACACCCGAGGCGAACCCACTCAAGCCATCGTCTTTCAACCTCCCAGTAACCTGGTGGCGCGTTCTGCCACTGCACATCCTGCTACCACTTGCGTTCTCCGTCTGCTCTCCCTAATAGGATGCCATCAAGTTCCCGCTACTTGTCGGACAGAGAATAACGCGTTAGAGACACACTTCAACATGGTTATAGTGATAGTACTAGTAACTTGGTATGTGGCATCTTACTCGTCCCTTCTCTCGTTCACACTTCTTTTAACATACGGTCCGTCCTTGGGTCATCGAAGCGAGCGGGTCGCTTAACCTGTATCATCTTCGCTCAAAATTTTACCTCCGTCGAGGCCCACGATGTGCTCGAGGATTCTCGACTTCGAGCGTTGGTGTGGCAAATCTATCGAATCGGGGATGAACGATTTTGCAGCCTGATAGTTGAGATTGGCGCAAAGAACTGCGTATATGCGTACCAGTTGAATGTTGCGGAGTCCGAGCAGATCCTACTCTGGATGGGATCGCCTCGACAGGGGTTTGCCGACATTCAACACACAATATATTGTAAACGTAAGTCCGTCATTTTCATTTACCCAGCGTCACGGCTTGCTGACGTCTGATTATAGTATATAACCACGTAACTGACCCTGTCATGCTGAATACGAACGCGTGCTTATCTCGTCTAGAGATATCATATAACGTCGCTACTCTGATTTCGACATCAGTTCAAGGCTGTCTGCATCTCTTTATCGAAGGCATACCTAGGCGGATAGACTGCGGTATCTTCCGCGCACGAACGAGCCGACCTGGCCCTGCGTGACTGACACCATCGCATTTAAGCATATATGTCAACTTTTGAAGATATATCGCGCCTTGGCTGACTGTCATTGAAATGATTTTTCATGAAGCTGATATTGTATGCAAGATATACAGCTATGTTATTCTCCCCCGATCGCACAACCAAACCGTGTCATACGTGTTCTTTTGAAAGAAGGGTTTTCGATAAGGCCTGATCGATAAGGATCCAAGTAGGTCTCTCTCATGCTTGCGCGCAACCTCGACGCGGGTGATCCTCTTCAATGGGCCTCGTCTGCCATGAGCTCACTGGATTCCATGTTATATCACGCTTTTCCAGGATCAAGGTACTTGTGATGTGCTTATTATAGACGCCGCCCAACCACGTAGCATAGCGTAACGACATCCTTCCTGGTTGCAAAAGTATATGTTCTGCATTGAGGTTCCTCAACTGATTGTGGTCTAGATATCAATTCCGTCAGCTGAGAAACCCGTCGTCCCACTCAACGTCCTCCATGCGTATTATGACACGCCGGAAATGGATTCTGCCCTAACGGGGGAAGCACGAAAGAAGAAAGATGCTCTCTGCTCGCCAAATTGGAACAGGAATGCGTCGCGAGAACTCGAACAAGTGCCACACCTTGTCGACATCTCTGTGAAAGAGTACAGCTACTCCCCACACAGCGCCAAGTAGTAGAGATATTTCAGCTACGTCATGCCATATCCGTATGCTGCTATATGCCATGGGCTGGGATGTCTGTGTGATTATCACACTACGGATGGAGTACAAAGAAACGTGTCGGCCCGTCATTTTTATACTGATTATTCCTCGAATTCCGGGTGATATCTCATTTCAGGACGTATCAGGGAAGATAGGAACGAGGCGTCTGATCTTGTTGTCAGTGAGGAAGCCTATTCTGTATTCTGCGAGACGAATATGGTCCTGCCCAGACCGAAGAAAGCGAGCTGTTAAAAATCTCCTTGATAAAAAGTCGTTACTGATTCACTGTCATGGGATCTGAATCTTGGGTCTCCAGACGTCGGGATAACGTGTCGGCAGCCTCCTTCAATACCTCTACGCTGGTACCATTCATTTAATTGCATTCCGCCTGGGAGCTAATCTAATATGCAATACGACGGTGAAATGGTCGCCGTGCTTGTGTTCAACCAGGGAGCAATTGGTAACGTTCAACTCCCCTTGCGCTCTTCAGTTGTATATTCGCTCATTTCATTTCCTAATCCTCCTTCTGATAATTAAAGTCTCCCGTTAGATCTATGAGATCAGCTTCGGACGTTTCTTCCTTTCTATATTTCTGTTCTCTCTCATCGCCTACAGCCTGCGCCCATCAATGCATCATATAATCCCCTGTATTCCACCCTACCGATCATGGCAAGGAGTCAATGCCGCGTGCTGAGATTCTTTTCCTTCGTCGTGTCTCACGTGGACGAAGTGCTTATTTACCTCAGAGCGACGGCATGCTGAAGAATGTATTCAATATCCATAGAGCGTGCGTGTGCTGGGCAGCAGGTTGTGACGGATGTCTACACTAGCAGACCGCTCATCACACAAGGAAACGATGTCGGCATGCTATAATTGGAACGGCGTCAGATTTTTGAACACTGTTGCGAGTTGTATAGGACAGTCAATGGTTGATATCACTAAAGACAACGAACATTCTTTCTTAAAGGAAATGCCTGAACTCTGGGCTCGCCACACCGACAGCGAGCGCCGCCGTCGGCACGTCTTTGCTCGACCAGTTCACGCCCTGAGCCCTGTTCCTCCGCCTATTGTCAAGCATCATATACGTACGCAAGCTGAGAACGAGGCTTATTCCCACAGCGAGGAAGCTAAAGTTGACTACGAGGGCGGTATTGTAGTAGGGCTGTTCTTTCTCCATGAAGATGTTGGAAGCAATAAGACCAGAAGCTAAGTACACGGATTAGGCGTTGAGGAAGAGTTATGTTGTAAACAAAGAGACGCACAGTTTGCAAAGAATGTCATAAGCGCCGTACGGAAGCCACGTCCGACTTCTGATGCATCGCTGTAGAGGTAGCTTGATCAGTTGACATCCACATCCCAAATAACCTTTACTTACTTGCAATTATGCCACACATGGAAAACGGTCGAAGGCGTGAATGCCCCAAGACACAATAGGAAGGAACCGAAGTACTGAATACCAGTCTTCGATACGTCAACGGTATCAACTAAGCCCCAATAAATAGGCGTATGATATGAGAAAGGAAGATGGACGCACGAACGATGAAGCCGATCATCGTTACAGTCATCGTACCAGCAATATGCAACGACCGCTCTCGGAAATAATCTGACGAGGCTGCTGTGAGTAGCACAGCAAAACCACCGACAAAGTTGGGTGCGACCTATATATGTGACACTCGCTCAGCACATCCAAAATTATAAAAATGACAACGATAGTTCGTGCCGTGAGCAGATTCGTCGTCAAGTTGCTCTTTCCCATTCGTCCAATAATCTGAGGGAGGAAAGTCCCAGTCGACGAAGAAGCTACTCCATAACAGATGGCGATTAACGCCCAAACATAGAGCTTCCAGTCTTTGAGGGGAGCGAAGAAAGCTTGAGAGGTGAGCTTTTCGTTCATGACTGCAGACGAGTCACGGAGAATACGTGTCCATGCGACATGCTTTTCTTCTGACGAGAAAAAGGGCGCCGAGTCGATATTTACGGGCAGGATGAATCTGTGAAAATGTCACGAATGCACCAGGAAAATGGAGGAGTAGCGTACATTGCCAAGATCGAGAAGAAGACAGTTGCAGCGCCTTCGACGAGGAAGAGTAGCTATTAAGAAAGATAGGTGAGGGGTTTGCGAATCAGGAAAATATATTCATGTACCTGCCAACCTTGAAGACGGATATCCGGCTGAAACACCCCGTATGCGATCAGCCCAGAGAATCCGCCCGCAAAAGCAAGCGCTGAGAAGAACACAGCGACACGCTTTCCAAGCTCACCACGCCTAGTAATGTATTAGATATGCACGAGAGAGACGAAAAGAGAAACAAACGTGTAAAAAGTAGTCAGATACCAGATGATGGTCACAGCAAATCCGGCTTCTGCTGCACCAAGGAATAGCCGCACGACCAGACAGCCAACAAAGTTCTTGACCCTAAACGATGAATGAGAGACGTAAACCAAAGTTGTCCGAGGTGACGTACGCAGCATTAATCATACACAGTCCGCCAAAAGTAAACATGTAGAGTGGGAGCGCCACTTTAGCCCCGATTTTCTTTGAGAGTGCGATCGCCGGAACGGTGAGGGTACAGAATGGTATGTCTAAAAAAAGTTCAGTCAGACGATAGATTAACGTATAGCCTAAAAAGAGTCACGCACAGAACACTGAAAGCATTATCGAATAGTCATTCCCATGGAAGTGAAGGTCGGTCTCCAGTCCCTCCGTCTTTGCATTGCCTGGTAGACGTTACACACCAGCGAATTGACACATCGTGTACCCAACAACTACTCACCCAAATTTGACCGGTCGATGGCATTGAAGATGTACAGGCAGAAAATAAGCGGCATAAGCCTCGCATCGAGCTTCCGAACGACCCTCTGCTCCACCTTGGGGTCGAACCTGTAATAATCCTCGATGTTATGACTGGGTTCTCCATTTGGACCATAAGCAACGTCGGGGACGTTTGACTCGACATCGTCTTTGCGGTCAGGCTTTGAGTCCAAGGACGGTGCCATTGTCAGTTCCAAGTGTCTGGATAGAAAAAGCGCTCCTTCTTATGTGAAAGGCGCTGAAAAGGAGGAGAAGATCCTTGGCCACTCTATTGTGGACGATAATTCCATAATCAAGGCAGGCAATGCGATAGGTACGTCTAAGATAGGACCGGAAAAGTTTAGGAAGCAGGATAAACTACCCAGCCGTAGTGTAATAGTGAGTATTCGTCATTTTGCTAGGTACTAAGAGGAAACTTGAGGTCCGTACTATGATCAGAAGAAGTTCAGAGTACTGAGCGGTAAAAGCAGTCGTCGGGAAGATCCAAGGTAGACATATCCCAACCAGATAAGGGATAGATGGAAGGAGATAGGAAGGATCATGCCCTTCTGCTGAGTTTCTAAGTGTATCAGCGAATATAGCACATCAAAAAAGCGCAAAATGATGAAAGATAAATATAATATCGCTAATCTTGAGATGTGTATCCGGGGGATCTGCAGGATCGGCCAAGATAAGGTACTTGTTTTTTTATAGTCATGATGAACGATTAACTCTTGCACCTTCTCAATCCGACATAGCGTCAAATAGAAAACTTGGTGTACTGCAGCTGAATACCCAGTTCTACAGGCTGCCTGGCGATTTCGGTAATCCGAAATCGTACACTTATCCAGTAGTCATATCCATCGTCGAAGTAGCCATCCGGGAGACGGTAGTGCTGGGTGGAAGGGAAGGACAAATGGCGTTGGTAGACGCGTTTGTTAAAGAGGGAACAAGACTGATGAAAGAGGAGAACGTCACATGTTTAATTACAAGCTGCGGTTTCATGGCTGCAACGCAGAAAGAGCTTGCTGAGGGGATGCCCAGTGAGTTTCTCTTTCTATAATCATCCCTTCACAGTAAGAGACTGATGAGTAAATTAATTCCTATCGGTACCAGCGCACTATTACAAGTTCAATGCCTCCGGGAGCTATTTGGCGGGGCACCTGACACAGTTGGGATACACTCTTATCCGGGTATCTCTTGTGAAAACCCTAATTATGTCGTACAAGATGGTGAAATGGTCACTATTTATGATTTCAATACATACGGAGCGGTTCCACTCCTCATGGTGTATCCCGATGTACATTGGCAGGATATATATATTGTGGACCGCCAGTAGGGCTACGACCTCAGTTGAACATCGAAATCGATGTTGAGAAATCATTGAGTTTCCTTTGTACGGATACGTTTCCCCCTAAAGTGCTCTTTGTATCATGAGGTTGAACCCCTCCAGATATTTATTTCCAATTATTCCGGCTTTCCTCCCTCTTCAGTTCGTATCTCTGGTACTGTACGTAGGCAAGATTTTCAATTACCACTCGATCCTTTTCTTGTTTTGGAAAAACGAGTTCTTTTTCCATAACAATTCATATCCGGAATCACAATGAATGATAGTTTTACAGGCCAAAGATTCGCGATTGACATGAAATCTAGTCAATAGAGTTAAAACGAAAACTGTTTTTATGAGCAATCATTATAACGCACTGATGGCAATACAGTTATCATGTATCACTCTCAAGTAGAAGGGTTGGATTCCCTTCCAGTGCATTGGTAATGCCTGATGAAGTTTTACTTTTGCACTACACAATGACCCCTATTCGAGCTCCTTTGCTCATATTGTTATCAATACCTTCTTCCACGACTACGAGATGGAGGGCCTCTATGCCCAGCTTAGCGGTGACATAATGATAGTCTTGAAGACCTCAGCGTACCGTGTAATATCGAGATTCCAAGGTCAGTACATCAGGTACGGATAGTAGAACTGATTAAGTATCGTGGAATCGAGAAAGGGTTCGAATCCCTTTCAGTACATTGATAAATTCCTCGATTGGCCTCTTTTGCACCGGAGCTCGTCATGCGAGATCTGGGCATTCCCCCTTTTTCCCAGAGATAACCCTCTTTCAATTTTCAAATACTGGCCTCCGTATGGTATCCCTCGTACTCCAAAGATTTCTGTGGTTTGTCATCGACCAATTCACTTCAGGACAGGGTAAAATTGTGCAGCGGTTACCATTCCTACACATGAGATGGGTTCGATCCCCTACAGCACGTGTATTTACGTCCTTGAGATATTGTTTTGCGACACAGATGGCACATCTGCTAACTCGAGGATTCATCGATTCCGTGGTCGAATTCGTGAGATAATGGCTGTGTACGGAGAGAGACAGAGACTGAAATTCGCGAGAAGAATGGGTTCATTAGAATTTCGAAAAAAAAACAGACCCAAGAGGTTGGTCTCATTCAAGTCATCGAGAATGTTATCAGAGATTACATTGACACTGATAAAATGGTCATGTCTCTTCGTACTGATTATATCCCAAGGACATATAGAGATCGAGCGACAGGAGTGGAGAAATGTATACCAGGCGCACGATCAACTAGCGTTAAGTATTCCGAGAACGTAGACCAGCTCATCGTTCGACGTTGGCGACGTTTGGACAACGTGGACGTGCGCAGCCGGATATCACGTGCATTGATCCGCCGGCACAAATCGGACTTTCTCAGCCTCGTCCCGGACCAGTTCAGTCCTCCCTCTCCCTTCTGGGTCTCCAGACATTTACGGCGTAAAACATTCATGATACTATTCATACACGATGCTGAGCATTGTCCAAGCTTCATCGACACCTGCTAAGACAGTTCGCCTTCTTCTCCATCAGCGTGTTGTTCTAGCGTGGCGACATTGACCTCAAGACTGTACCGTGAAGATGCTTAGACTATGTCTAACTCGAACTTTGATTAATTCCCGACGATGAAGGACACGACCCATATTCGTGTAACGTGTGAGTGCTGGCAAGACGGCTCGGAATGGGGCATGTTTCTGGTACGTGTACATGCAGCCATAGCTGGAGTTCTAAATTGAACCATGCATCGGTTTCACAGAGCTAGTGGTTAGATCACGATACTTCCATGTGTATACATCAGGAGGGGAGTCATTTCAGCGACTACCTGAATCCGGACCAATACTAGCGACTCGCAGCGGAAGAATGTCCGCTTGCTATAATTGGAACGGCGTCCGATTTCGGGAGACTTTGGCGAGTTACGCGGGTCAGTCTATTGTGCGTACTCTTCCTATCTGGGAAAGGCTTTCGTCTCATAAGCCGTGCAGTTGAGAGGATGCCGCAAAACTCGAACGTACCGAAGGCAACAATTACGCCTGAGCTCCGACAGCATCATCCATCCCTCGCTTATGGAATCGCATCACATATAATGCAACTCCACAACCACGACCGACAATATGACAATACCAGCGTCCTCACGGCCTGACGGCCCTTTTCAGTAACCTCAACCCTTCCGCAACAATCCGGTTAACACTGATGCGCATATAGCCAGCATCTTCTGTAGACCTTTACTCTGGGAGCCTGCGACATTTTTCCCTCGCGAAAGCGCGTATAGCTCTGCGGATCATTATGATATTCGATATCAGGAAATAGCACGAGCAGGCCAGTTATATCGATTCTTGATGTCCGCGCGCTGAGGGATTAGTAGTATTCGCCACGCTCTTTCTTGCTTGTCTTCTACATCCTGATAAATTCATTGCGACTCGCTGAGTCGTTAGCAGCCCAGTTTACTACTATGGGACAGAGACGCAGTATGAATGAATCATTGAATCTCCTGCCTTCCCGCTCGGTGCACCATCCTTCGTCTCCTCCCTGCTGTGCTGTACCTGGTCTCGGTCTGAGCAACAAAGATCTCCTTGTTGACCACTGCACCATTACTCCGTTCGTTTGTGTGATCCTCCACACGCTCGATGCACTTCAGGACACGCTCCTTCAAACCGGTGGAGCCCTCGCCTTCCTCTTGCTTGCAAGTTCTGCATTGCTGTCGTCGATCTTTGAGTAACACGCCGAGCATTCCAAAAGCCTGCCAGGGCGGAAAGATGTCTTCACCGACAACCTCAGCCTTCAGAGGATTGGCAATGCCGCATACGTCTATGGCCTTCGTCTGGTATTGGGCCTGTCGCTAGGTCTAGGATCCTGAGCAATTACTACTATAACAGCTAGGAAATAAGGCGAACTCGGGAGATGAAAACTAGACTCTATGACACTCCACGGACGCAGCTATGCTGCAGAGTCTACCACCCGGCTTCACGGCCGTCATTCGACAGTAGGATTTCCAAGGCACACTCTGGAGCTTCTGTCCATTTGGGGCACGGCTTCGCCATTAATCCGGAGGTCTGAAAACGTTCGAGCATCGAGGTCGTCATCCTCGTTCGCCTGGTTTATTGCAGATGCCTGCTCCATGTTTCGTTGTAGTTCTCCAATTTTAGCAGGCGGTAAGTACATCCTAGTTAGCATCTACGCGTTAGGTATTGATTGACACCTGGTTTCTAGTTACTGCCAGGGGCGCCGGAAGAGCGATGACATCGAACGGGCACGGTGAATTCTGCGTTATCCACATGCGTGGATGCATTGCCTTGCGTTATCGCTCCTGCATTTGCGTTTGCGTTCGAACGCATGCGTTTCCTAAAAAGGCAGTTGCGTTAGTTGAAATGCGTTCGTGTTTGCATGCGTGACATCCTTGCGTTTCATCTGCAGACGTGTCGCGGCGTGACACAGCCCAGTCCCTCATGCCGCGATGCGAGCCCGTCAACTCGAGATCTTGTTAGAATACGGATCGCTATTTTTAGATGTCGGAGCTTGCTTGAATATTCTCGCTCATTCTCCCCATATTCCCCGGACGCAGTGATACAGTCTTACATTCTAGTACATTCTATGTATTCTGGTAGTATAAAAGCCTTGTAGTTAGTAGAGCATCGCTAGTGCAATTGCCGTGAACATTAGTTCAAGTTTCCGCCCACTTGTGAACCACGAGTTGTTACACAGATGTTGCCTCAAACATTTTATGGGTATCCTCATGAGTCTAGTGATGTACTTGAAAGATGTCTCCCTAATGCATCCAATTTACAGAAAAAAATTAGGCATGCGATGGGCACCTAGCTGCTAGAAGCTGATTTCGATTCCAAGGATTTTTGACAAAGAGGAGCTGGAGCAGTGGCATAAGATGGAACAAGAGAAGGAGGAGGAAAGAGAACGAGTGCAAAAAGCGACACATCTACAACCAAGAATGCTGTCAAATGGTACCGGAAAGCATCGGGCTGAGGCTGATATGCCTACCAAATTGGACGACTCGGGGACAGCTGATACTAACGAAAATCATTGACGACCTGATAAGCGGAGCCGCAGACAATCTGAGAGCAATGCTTCTCGCTTGTAAACACTAGAATACTGTACTGTTTCTTATCACAAAAGTGGTAGCCTTGTAGGTAACGGAATGCCTTGAAAGCACTGTTAAACCATTGTTATGTATATTGATTGGGAAGTTTAGACGATTTTAAGGTATTTTATAGTAAAAGATATGCTAAATAAATCAATACGAGGTAACGGTAGGACGAAAAGCATGTTGGGCCCAAGTTCAACTCCAGTGAAACGCAAATGTGATGAGTATGTCACACTTGCGTTCAACCCTTGTAACGCATGCGTTTTTGTCTCTTGACATGCGTGGGTTGCCTCTGCGTTTGCGTGAATATTTAAACGCATGCGAGAATGTTCCAAACGCTTGTGTTACCATGAGAACGCATGCGTTAACTTGATTTACGAATGCGTTCACATGGTAACGCATGCATTTGGAGTATTCTCGCATGCATTTAAATATTAACGCAAACGCAGAGGCAGCACACGAATGTCAAGAGACAAAAACGCATGTGTTACAAGGTTTGAACGCAAGTGTGACATACTCATCACATTTGCGTTTCACTGGAGTTAAACTTGCACAACATGCTTTTCGTCCTACCGTGGCTTCGTATTAATTCCTTTCGCATATCTTTTACTATGAAATACCTTAAAATCGTCTTAAATTCCCAATCTATATGTTGAGATAAGCGGTAACTCTCCAGCCGCTCACCCGGATATAGCAGGGAACCCTTGCAAACAGGCGAGGGTCATCGTCATTCATCTACCTATTTATCTACATGCCATGTACACTAATAGAAGCAATATGATGTAATAAGGAAAGCCGAGGAGGAGAACAGATGAACGGTGCTTCCTACTGAAGATCCCGACGTCGACTGCACCATGATGCGCGACACTTGACATTCCAACATCTATATTCATAACAATGGTGTAATGGTGCCATTGAGGCATTCCGTTACCTATGAGGCTACCGCTCCTGTGACAAGAAACAGTACAGAATTCTGGTGTCTACAAGCGAGAATCACTGCTCTTTGATTGTCTGCGGCTCCGCTTAGCAGGTCGGCAACGATTTTCGTTAGTATCAGCTGTCCCCGAGTCATCCAATGCGGTAGGCATATCAACTTCAGCCCGACGCTTTCCGGTACCATTTGCATCTTTCAAATGCTTGAGGCAACATCTGTGTAACAACTCGTGGTTCACAAGTGGGCGGAAACTTGAACTAATGTTCACGGCAATTGCACTAGCGATGCTCTACTAACTACAAGGCTTTTATACTACCAGAATACATAGAATGTACTAGAATGTAAGACTGTATCACTGCGTCTGGGGAATATGGGGAGAATGAGCGAGAATATTCAAGCAAGCTCCGACATCTAAAAATAGCGATCCGTATTCTAACAAGATCTCGAGTTGACGGGCTCGCATCGCGGCATGAGGGACTGGGCTGTGTCACGCCGCGACACGTCTGCAGATGAAACGCAAGGATGTCACGCACGCAAACACGAACGCATTTCAACTAACGCAACTGCCTTTTAGGAAACGCATGCATTCGAACGCAAATGCAAATGCAGGAGCGATAACGCAAGGCAATGCATCCACGCATGTGGATAACGCAGAATTCACCATGCCCCCTTCGCAGTATCTTTACCGGCAGCTCATCCTCCATAGCCAGGCAATCCGCTCATCTCACCACTGACAGTCTCTTTCACACCCCACCAAGTAGTTCCACAAATGCCGTCGTTTCATCTGGTCGCGACTCGAACTGGAGCACGTAAAAGCAAACACTGTCAATATCACCACGACTCAGGAGAACACGTTCTCGTCAGTTACGAATACGATTGTCGTATGTAATCATTTCCCCGTACATTATACTGAAAGCTAACTTATTTGCTTACAGCAGTGCATGACCCCTTCTAACTCTTGATTCTGCCTTTGACTGCTAGCTCTACGAATTCAGCACTGTTGGTTTGACCCAAAGTACGTCCGTCTAACATGTCCACATAACCGAACTAACACTCACATAAGTGCGCCCCCATACCACACATCGTTTGCAACTTCAGAGCACTGTACATGCATACTCTCACGGACTGATCATCGTACAAAGTCACGTTCGTGCCCTCATCGGACTTGGACATGTCTACCTTCCCTCGCCCTGCGAACGATCTAGAGAATTTGACGATGCTTGCTCTTCGATGCAATATAGGTTCCCTTGTCTACAGTTCCCCACATCAATAACGAATCTTCAATCTGCTATGCCAGCCTGTGGTTGCATGACACTCTAACACAAAGAACGCATGCCCAATCGAATGTGGTGAGAGCCTACCATCTACGGTGTACGAGGATTGGAATGGAGGGTCGACTGGGGTAAGGGATGGGGTACGCTTGGATGCTTTTGTACCGTTCCATGTGCAGTAACTGCGCATTCCGCTCTCTCTATGGAATATACAAATGTGAGTGGATGATGCCTACAGCCTACAGTTAACAACGCCGATGGTGAAACGGTTATCATGCTTGTCTTCCATGTGGGATCCCGGATTATGTACTTGAGCAAGTGGTAAGGGTTCGACTCCCTTTCAGCGTATTTGGTCTGCATGGTCTTGTAATTTTTGTTCAGGGTTCCCTTTTTCCGGGCTATAAGCTTCACTGGTATCTGCAGAATCCTCCTTCAGGTGCGGGAGCCGAGATTATCTTCTTGCATGGTCAATTCATTGCTAAGTCTGAATCTGGGACTATTGATCATTTGCATGTGAACAAAATGACTTACCGTACAGTGCTCCACCTATGCTGTGTTCTGAAACGTGCGAAAATGGGTCTTTAGACTCTTTACAGTGAATCAAATCCAGTCACTCTTCAACATTGCTTTTCCTTCTCTTAGTATCCGATCTGTGAAGATTCTCACCATACATAGGAAATATTCCGAACAGACTTTCAATTAATAATCCCTTACCTCATTCTAGGTGAATGAATCCCCTCCCCCACCTCGACGCGATATCTTGAAATGCAGTTTTGAAAACAAACCGGACACATGTGCACAGAATCCCGATAGAATTAACTATAACATATTACACCCACGCCGCACCAATGGCAATATGGTTCACATATCAATCAAGTGGAAAGAGTTCGAGTCCCAGTCGGTGTGTAGACGGGCATTATTATAAGACTTTTTGCACCAAGGAGTAACTTCGATTCAGGATCATTTTGCTTGACGCTCTCAGTTTGTGCAAGCTCACCCATATTCTCGATGAGTTCCACCCCTAGTCATTGATCCAAGTCATCCGCTTTTCCACTTTGTGAGTTCTCCAGCTATCTCATGGTCGCCAGGTGTAATTCTCGTTTGAGAGCATGTTCTTGCCCAGTGAAACGCTAATTCCATCCTACAAAATGGTGAAATCGTTGCTGTTTTTGCTTTCATTACATACCGAGCGGTTCGATTCTGTGCGGTGTCTCAGCCAGCTGTCAAGGTTAGCGGGATGTATATTTTTTGGACTGCCGATGGACTTACGAACTCCGTTGAACCTTGAAGCACAAAGCTAGTCCATGGATTGCAAGACTAGTCATGAGCAATTTGATCACGACTAGTCATGCGTACATGACTTCTGCTTCCCAGAAGATGCAAACGCCCACTGCTCCGAGTAGCCCCGAGATGACGTGAAGGACAGGACAGTGTTTGAGAGAAATGACGAACGATTTGTGTGTACCCATGCAGAATCATTGAGTGGCGGTATGCAAAACAATGCTGTTTAATGACGACGCAAGGGTGTCTCAGTATACTGAATTCCACGCAGTCAAAGGCATTGAGTTTTCAGGACTTCGGAACTGTCACAAGGAGACCATCGATTGAAGATATACCAGTCAGTATAAATGTCGCAAAGAGTCACTTGTTTCGTTCTAACCCCTCCTTGTCATTGTGTCGAAGGTATGGGGCATCCATTGATGTGAATGCATTAGAATCGTTTCATCTCGAAGTTGTCAGGTAAATCATGGGCGCTATTCAGCTCTCTCTCGACCCTTTTCAAACTGAATGGTCGCTGTAGTCATTTTCGACTCGTCAGATTACCATATCGTGGTCGTCCGTTCTCCGAGACTTCCAACATCCTCTTCCTTTCATGTATACGTCCGAACGCCACTGTAATGGTCATGATTGGAGATCTTAATGTTTCGGATTTTTGTAGAGCCTATGCGTCTATTATTCTTAGTTCTGCGACTTGTGACTTCCTCTAGGACTTCCGACTGCACTACAGTGGATGTATAATTATCTCATGTAACTTGTCTACTCTTCCTAACGTGTACAAACCCCATCATTGCGAACCAGCAGCTCAACGACTCTGGTACCATCCCACGAACGATTTCACATAACTGCGACTACTAGTACTTCAATAGGAAGACAAGCAGACACTACAGGATACATTTTCATTGTTGCCATCGTCGTACATCACCTGCTGCCGCACTCAAATCCCAGGTCATCCCAGTTTTTTTCAACGATGACATTTTATCTGGTGCAATCATCACACCGGATGCCACGTTTCTCTCACAAGTGACAGGCCATCAACGTCGCAGCATAACTCACCTAGCCCACCTACTTCTACGCCAAGGACAACACATTCCAGGGCTGTCCTCATTATGATCACAGTGTTTCAAAAGCACAGGAAAATTGCTCTAGGAAGGGTTATGGGGATCTCGCAAAATCTTTTGCCTACTTGCTAGTAAGAATGAGTTTGATGGAGTGGGCCTATTTTCGATTTCACCCAGATTGTTCCTGAGCCAGTACAAATACCTTCTTCATTGCTCATGTACTCGAATATATTTAGTAATAGAGTTTTCATCCATGCGGGGTGTATCGTTTTGAATGTAACAGGGTCGACAAAGGCCTGGTGGATGGAAAGGGCGAAACCAATGATCAAACATTGATGGCTGCATCCTTGGCGCTACTAGTCATTCTGACAGGTAAGGCGACATAACCTCTACCCGATATTCACTGCCCTAGAAAACAATTCTTTCAACGTTCTCAGGCAGCGTCTCTGCAATGGGAATCGAACGCGAAAAAGGCTTTCGTGAAGCAGTTGACGCAACACCAAGCTGCTAAGCTATAGTGCTACGCTTTGAGAAGTACTGATGTAAGATGGGAATGTCCGGCCCGACACCCGTGTTTACGTCTATTGATCTTGCTGGGTTCTTGTTACTTGTCATCATCCACTCCAAACCACCCACCCGTAACAAGGATCGTACCTATCTCTGTGGAGATTAACCGTGACAACAGTGGTGAACGGAAAGTTGCCGTTCTCAATCGCACTTCGACACTATCAACGTATGGAAGGGGCTCCATGATACCGATTACCGTGGTCATTCACGCAATGGTTGTGATGGTCAGGCGTTAGACTGTCGAGGAAATGGCGCGGAGTAGGACACAAAAAATGGACATGAAGAGTACGGCTGCGTGCAGAGGGCGGTAGCGGATAGAATGCTAAAATAAGTCAACGACCTGGCAGAGATGAGGGCACAATGAAAGCATGAAAGCGAAACAAGATTACAATAACCGAGTCTGCTTCACATCCTCAAGGACATGCTCTGATAACGATCCAGTTGGAACTCCGCACATAAGCTACAAGTCAGCCATGAACACCACCCTTCCCCAATGTCCCACGCCCTCGCTACTACTATGGATCCTGTAATCTTTCCGACTCGTTTCCAGTCTCTGCTCCTCAATTTTACATAATGCTATAAAGTTCCCACCGGTTATAGCTCAGGCTCACGATCACACACGGCGGCGATCGAAGAATGACACGAGACAATTCTGATGATATAGTGATGGTGCTCATAACTAGGTACATCACGTCTTACCCGGCTTTTCTCTCACCCATAATCCCTCTCAAACTACAATCCTCGTTTCCTACGCAAGGAGTATGTACTGTAACCTCGCTCTATGGAAGAGCGAGACCACTGAGAGAATCGGACAAGACTAACAAGGAACGGCATATATTGAAAGCAAGAGGAAGGAGAAAAACGGGATGTAGTCAACTACGAAGGAGGGGATGGTGGTGGTCGGAAGGTAAGTGAGGGCGTATCCCGAACTAGCGCTAAATATGTAAGTACATGACATGAAATATAGTACGATCGAAGGATCTATGACCAGAGATCTAGTGAGTAATGTCGACGTGGTAAGCAGCATGCTTACACTCTCCCCCATCCAAGAAAAATGTCCCGTAATATGAAAGAGAAGAGGAGAAAGGTAAAATGGCACAACATCAACCAGCGGGTGTGTCAAAAACCCCAGTGGGGAAAAGCTACCGTGAGGCATCCTGACCAAGTCCAGCCTGCCATACGTCGAGGGCTTCGCAATCGTCGAGTGCACTGCCGGAAAGCCATCGATCTTCTTCGGGTCCTTGACCGAGCCATCGAACTAGGTATTGATAGCCACGTCTGCGTTTCCGCTGGTCGATGATTCGTTCAATGAAACATTCTTCGAAACCGTCTGCAGTGAGTATTGGTTCTGGAGAGTGGTGTTCTCGTGAGGGGAAAAGGGTAGGGTCATTCGGTATGAAGCGTTTGAGTTCAGAGGTGTGAAAGGTGGGGAATACATTTGGTGTGTTCGGCATTTCTATAGTATAGGATGAGAGGGCAGGATTAGCATGCAATACGATGTAAGGGCCATCATAATGTGGCATGAACTTAGCAACACGACTCTTGTCTCCAGCTTTATAATCTCGGCGACAGTGGAAGGTACTGAGCATCACCTTGTCGCCCACCTCGAAGACGTCTTCTTTTCCTTGATGCTTGTTCGCATGGTGGGCTTGGTTGATCTTTGCCTTGATGAGGTTGTCGCGAGCTTGAGCCGTGTCATCCAAGAGTTGGGCGATGATCTTCGCAGCGTCAGTATCGGATTTAGCATCGTCCACTAATCGATTCGGAACTAGAGGGGGTAGAACACGAGGTGAGCATCCCATACGTAGCTGAAAACCTGAGAAACCCATGGAGGCATTGACTGTGTTCATGATGTTAAAACGAATGACAGGTAAGGCTCGTACCCAGCCTTTCTGGTTGCGTTCAACGTGGTAACAGATGGCCTGGTTGATTGTCTTGTTCAAACGTTCAGAAGAACCATCTGTCTCTGGGTGGAAGGATGAGGACATCTTCAGTTGTACACCAGTTAGTTTGTGTAACGCTTTCCAGAACTTTGAAATGAAAAGCTTATCATGATCGGAGACGATGTCGGCAGGGAGTCCATTTTCGCAGTACCAGTGGTCGAAGAAGAGAGATGCTAGGCCTTCCGCAGTGAGGTCGGTGTGGGTGGGAATTAGACATACATCAGAACCTAGGCGATCTGTCATCGTGAGTAAACAGTTAAATCCACTGTCAGGGGGGTAAAGGCCCAACAAAATCAATGGCGACGCTGTCACCGCAGTTGTCAGGTATGGGTAATGGATGTAGTGGCCCAGCAGGTTTTTTCGTGCTTGATTTATTGCGTTGGCAAGGTACACAACCTGGAATATATGAGTTTTCAAGATCTCTGTGCATGTTTGGCCAGTAATACGCATCTCGTAGTACTGCATATGACTTATCTGCACCAAAATGTCCCAGAGTGTCGTGCACCAGTTTGAAAAGGTCCTCACGGATTGAACCTGTGCGAGGCACCAATAGTCGGTCACCGATATACCAGAGACCATTGACTTCTTTTACATTTGGGAGAATTGTCTCACCTGACACGAACTTTGCACAGAATTCATCTACCTGGTAACCTGCTTTGATGGCTGTCAAAATCGATACGTCTGTTGAAATTGAAAGAATCGTATTTATGGTGTTCTTCAAGAGCCATTCTTTCCATGAGGAAATCTCTTTGGGATCTTCATCTGTCACCGGGGTGTCATCCACTGGAAGGCGAGAAAGAGCATCTGCAACACAATTATCTTCTCCCTTGATGTAGCTGATCGTCATCTCATACTGTGACATTACTTCAAGCCAGCGTGCCTGTCGATGTGAAAGGTCTTTCTGTGTGTCAAAATTCTCCAAGGTACGATGGTCTGTAAACACATTGACGTGTGAGCCTAGAAGATCTGATCTCCATTTCTTCAGGGCATGGATTATTGCTAGAAGTTCTTTTTCATGCACTGGATAATTTAGCTGTGCACCAGTGAGCTGCATGGAATCATATGCAACTGGTTTGGCTGTTTCCCATGTGGGTCCCCATGAGAGGACCGCACCAGTACGGAAGTCACTCGCATCACAGGTAATAAAAATCTTGTTCTTGCCAGGATTTACATGGTCAATCACTGTCAAGCATGCACTTTCGGAGACGAGGTTCTTGATTGCATCAAAGGCTTCCTGGTGTTTGTCATTCCAGGCCGGAAAGTTCTTCTCTGCCTGGTCTGTTGTGAGCGGAGAAAGTATGTGAGTATATTCAGCAAGGTTCTGGAGGTGTGCTGAGAGGTACCGAGTCAGACCTAGGAATTGATGTACATGAGAGGCCATTTTAGGTCATGGCCACTCCTTGATATGCTGAACCTTTGATTCATCAACCTCGATACCTCGCCGCGAAATACGGTGGCCCAAGAACTCCAGTTCCAGAAGAAAAAACTGAGACTTCTTAGGGTTGCAATAAAGTGCATCTGCACATAAGGCATCAAGTACCTGGCGTACATGGAGCATGTGTTCTTCAACGGAATTAGACCAGATTATGATGTCGTCAAGGTAGATATGGCAGATCTTCCCGAGTAGATGGCGAAGCGCGTGGTTAACCCTGCGCTGATGTATTGCCGGCGCATTCTTCATGCCTTGAGGCATCACCAGCCATTCATATAATCTGAAAGGTGTCTGCACTGCAGTGTACGGGATGCTATCAGGGTGCATACGAGTGTGGAAAAAACTGTCTATCATGTCTAATTTGCTCCAGATTTTACCACGGCCAGCATCAGCAAGAATGTCATCAATCCGAGGCAAGGGGTATTTATCAGACACCATGTTTGCATTTAACTGGCGGAAATCATTAACCCATCGAGGGAGCACAGTCTTGTCAGATTTCGGGATCAAAAAGGCCGGTGAGGAATATTGCGAGGAAGATGGGCGGATACGACCTGCATCGATGTTCTTCTGGATAAGTGTCTGCCATGCTTCATGGAACTTATGCGGGCAGGAGTATGAACGCGACATGATTACTTTCTCCGCATTCTTCAATTTAATTTTGCATGTCATCTCCATAGGTAATGTATCCACATGGGGGATAGGCGCAAAAACATCTGCATAAGTTTCTTTTATTTCATCATTGAGCTTCTTCAGGTGGTCAAGGAAGGCAAGGCGTTCAATATTGGTACGTAGTGCAGCTATTACATCAGAGTTACAAAGATTATTATAAGCGTGATCAGTTTGTACAGCGAAGGCAGTTTCATCAGAGGGCAAGGAAAAGAAAGGAAGTTCATGGGAATCTACACGATTATGAAGCGTATTTTGTTTGCGTAATGCCGCCAAGGGCACAGGTCTGGTAGCTGATACTGGGGCTGAAGGATTCAGAAGGTCAAAGCCCGAAGGAAGGGAAATGCAAGTGCAATTACGATGATCCACAACCACATGATTGGCAGAGAGAAAAGGTAGGCTGAGAATGATGTTATCGCAGTTATAGTGTACAAAAATTATCTGCATACAGGTACTACAGGAGGTCAGCTAAAACAGGTACCTGTTTGACACACACCTAGTTGTTTCTCCATCCCCCGGTACTTTTATGCATCCTTATAGGTGTACCTGCAATAACTAGTACTTGTCGCTGTACTGTAACAAGCTGTTCACAAGTACTTTCTGAGAATGTCTGTGTTGGGTCCGCAAAGATCCGGGCATTGCCAAGATGCCGAACCGGCCGCTGATGGCGCATTCACACCAAGCCTTGAGCTTGTAGGGATAATATAAGTCTACGCCAATGCAGTAACACCCTCGGAGTATATATAGTAATCAATGACTAGACAAGAATGTTTTAGAAAAATACAAAAGAACTCTACAAACCTCGGAATTTCGCTTCCAGTTAACTTCCAATACAAAGCCAGATACAACATTGAGATGTGGTCGCAGAATTCTACATAGAACCTCAGTGTGAAAGGGTGATAATGTATTCGACATGTTTTTGAGAGGATATAATACTTGCCCAGATTATGGCATAGGTATCTCTATATCATTACTCCGAAGCACATTCTCCATCTTAATCACTGCTTCACAATAGACCTCAATCCCCCAATTCCTGTCATCTCTCTCATAGTCAAATTCTCCCAGAAGTGCCTTCGCTAGCTCTAAATGCAGGTCCTCATTCAAATGTGTTTCCGTTCCCTCTTCTAAACCCTCTGGTGGTGGAATCAAGGAATTGCCATCCAACGCACCTTCTTCACCGTAAAAAGGGTCACTGGCAGTCTCAATATTGTCGCCTACATCCCCCGTCCAGTAACCTCTTCGGATTGCTTGTTCTCGGCTCAATTCGTACATTGCAATGGGTGTGCGATGGCCAGCTGTCCTGATCTTGTGATGGTTCCATGCATCGCGGGTCTGGTTCAAAGAGCTCTGGATACGTGGTTGAAATACCAGAAATAGGCAAAGACAGTGGACAGGATTATCCTTATCCCAAAGATTATTAGTCTCCAGATAGTCAAAGATCTGACGAAATGTTTCCAGAGAATCCTTGCGTACATCTAGCCAGAGACGCTCAATTCGAACATTGTTTGTAGATCTGTCAAGGTTTATTGTTTAGTTTGTCTGGGACCATGGAGAAATGTCTGCCTTACCTTCCACGAAGATATGCACGATGTTCTCTTCCCCAATGCTCAATCATCACCATCTCAATTCCATTATTTTCTGTTCCATAGTCTCCTCGAATGCGACTGGGCCAACCAAATATTGCAATAGCTCTTCTAAAGCAATCGAGAACAGTCTCTGATCTTTTATTGGAGCAGCATTCGAGGTATATGATGAGACGTGAGTGCCCATCAACACAACCATGAACCCAAAAGCCCCAGTGCCGTAGCTTTTCATTTCCGTCCTGATGCCAAAGTGCGTTTGAACCTCTAACCTTGTAGACACGACGTTTGATTATTCCAGCCCACCTATGGCCAATGTGTCAGCTCAGCTCATTGATGGCTTTTCAGAAAAGAGACAGTGATACCTTACAAGGACACCGATAGCATCCACTCGTCTGAGGCTTTCCTGAACTCTTTCGCGTGGAAGATGAATACCCTTCGCTTCTAAGTGTCCAAGGATGATCACCGATCCAATAAAGGGATGTGCGAGTGATATTTCAGCCACGGTATCGTCCAGCTCAGCATCACCCATTACAGTGAACTCTGGCCGTTCAGATGGTATACCAGCACGCTTCAGATGGTTGTATATTGTTCCCCGAGTGACGCCCATTGCCTTAGCAATATCGTCCCAGCTATTTCCGAGGTTATGCAACAGACAAGCCCGTTGGAGGTCAATATCGTACCGTGGTCGGCCTGGCCGCCCAGTGTGAATGCGAGGAAGGTAGGCAGATGGGGCAGGAGGTGGATGTGCGATAAAATGCTCGAGAGGAAGTAAAAAGTTGTTCACATGTGTGAGAAGCTCTTCGATATCTTCGATAGATGTAGCACCAGAAGGATCATGGAAAGAATGGAGGATTGTACGTATCGCAATAAGTTGGTGAACAATACGTTCCACAGCTGCTGAATCCGTATTGGGGAATGAATTGATGATGAATTGAGCTTCAGAGGTAATTTTGTGGCTCTCTGTGAAGAACTGATAGATGGGATCATGTCTTCCTCCCTCCTGGCTGTCGCTCATGGTGGTCATGTAGCAAGTTTCAAGTTTGACATTGAGACTCTGAGTTACCAAGCTGACACGAAATTCGGTATCACGACACATCATGTTTGCGATAAAACCAGCATTATATACTATAAAACACAGTAGTACTACTTTCTGTATGCAATACGCTATCTAGAATGATATGGATAATCCTGCGCAAAATATCTAATACCCCTTGGGCCATACATAAGTACCTTCTATCCGTTCTCGCCAAAGGTTCAGTGCCGGTGTGAATACCGAACAGATTTGCTGCCATTCCTCTGACTGTGTGCGGTTTTTATCAACATGATAAACCTAGAAAGATGAAATGAAGACATATATGGTCTGAGTACTCAGGAACGTACCAGATGAATTTTCTTCCACTGCGCGGTTGGCTGTATACCGTCCTTGAAAATATCTGTCAGTCGTGGTTTGCAGTTGGGATCTGGGTGGCCGAAATCATTAAGTAATCCTGAGAGAAAATGTGGCCACTTGATGTCAGGATCCTTGTGTGTATTCGCAAGTTCTTGCGCTTCTTGAATTCGAGAGGGTGGCACCTTGGCAACACTGATAGGCGTTGGTCTTGGTTTAGACGACGATCCTGGCTTCGGGGTGGTGCTCCCAGAGGATGCCTTGGGAAACGAACCAGACGACTTCTTAGATCGTCCAGAAGAAGCTGAGAAGGCTCGCTTTCCTGGATATCGTGCAGAGGGTTTTGGTTTGGCAGAGCCTGGTGGACCAGCCGCCCAGTGTCTCGATGAGAATGTGCTGGTGCTGGCCTTCTTCGGCTTTCTACCTGAAATAACGGCTCAATGACAGGGCGAAGTAACAAGAGAATAATATACCTAATCGTGAATACTTGTCTGAGATTGCGTCGAAGTCGTCCCAGTTGTACTTGGACTGGTCTTCGCTTGAAGAGCCTGGGACATAAGTGAACGTTGGTTTCACTTTAAAAATTGTAAGAGCAAATAACGCTTCCTGGATGATAAATACTCATGGTCTGGCACTACTCTCTCTGGATGCCGAACCTGGCGCCGAAACTTGATATCTGGTTGATTTGGCTTGACTTTGGTGTAGTAGTCGGATTCAAGTGAGTCGGTATTTGTCATGTCTGCAACATAGCGGCATGATGTAAGATTGCATAACAGTTAAATAGCACGTACCATCCGGACTGTCAGTTTCGTAATCATGGCCATGTTCACTAGACTTCTTCTGTCGATAATAGCCAGTCCTAAGAAGCGATATCTATTCAATTATGTACGCAAACATCTAGGAAGAAATTACTTCGAGTTTAACATCGCACCAGGTGCGTCCGCACCCTTCTTCGATGACCGTGTCTGCCTTTGAGACCTCCCTGCTCTGCTCGCTTGTCTAACCTTGTCTTTATCTTGCTTCTCCTCCGATGGTGGCTTATACGACTGAATATTATATGTGTAAGCGCATGATCATTTTTTATTAATGTAGATGACCATGACGCACCTTGATAGTATTTCCCGCTTTACGAGCCAGTCCCTTACACAGCTTTGCGAGAATAGCCAATAAGTCGGAGTATCCATCTGCATCATATTCAATATCATCGAGCATCGGAACAACAACCGAAGAGTAGAAGCCATCCAGACCGTATTGACCAGTACAGATGGCATCATGGCACATCTGCGTTGGGTCAGACAGGCTCCCAAAGGCACTCGAAAGGAGGAACTTGATATGTTCCATCTTTAGCGGATCATCCGTAATGTTAATCTGCGAAAAACACGCATATAAGTTTGACTCCAGTGTTCCAACCTGTCCAAGAGGAAATATTACTTTAGCAATGACACATTAACGAAAGAGACGTAAAATTCTCACCGGAAGCTTATCGCCATGGCTGTGGAGAATGTAAATAAGGTCACGACAGCCATCAGCATCCCAAAGCCCACGGTGGTATTTTGTTCGGAGATGAATCAGCAGTACCATGAGATGGGATGGGAGACCGTGGAACAAACTCTGTGCGCTAGCGCCCGAGGCATCCAGAGACACATTTTTGGGCAGTGCACCAAGCATCCTGAATAAGTCCATCAAGAACGAGATCAACATGCCAACACCACCTGGTCCGACAGCAAAAGTGTCATCGAAGCGTTTCTCAATTTCAGGGGGGACTACGGAAGATGCAGAGATGAATACCGCAAGCTCAATGAATGGCTGTATGAGATCCCGAAGCAGCTGATCCAGAAAGACGAGGAACGCATTGATGGCGTTAGACTTCTCGTCTCCTGACAAAGCAACTAGCTTCTCGATATGTGCCTTGAGAACTGGCTGTAGTCCCTTGATGTCTTTGAAGAAGATTGGGACCGGATGGCTCGATAGACCTGTCAAAAACTGTCCACAACTTCATTCAGCCTGCTTTGATATAATAAAATCATGAAAGAAACCTACCCATTTCACATGCTGCGTGGATAGGACTGCCATGTTTGTGTGCAATCGGTGAAGCCTCCAGAAGGTCGGAGGGAAAGTGTTATCCACGAAGGCACCTGGCGCTGGTGGAGCTGGATTCACTTCACCAGCTGGGGACGACCGGACTGTGCTTGCTGCAGGAGTAGGAACTTGCGGTGTATATATCTGTGATCAGTTTGAGTAACAGTATAAAGGAAAGATATATTTTCCCATACCGGACTCGTGCTGGTGTTACTCTTGATGTGTGAATTGTCATGAGGCTGGAAGATGTGGAGCAGTACTATGAGATCATCACAGGAATGGTTATTCTGGCGTGGACACTTACATGAATATAATTGTGTTGAAACGTTTCTGGGGATGTAGCAGCCTCAAACTTCTATCGGTAATCGTGAGTTATAAGCCTACCAAGGACCTTGTGTGCAAACGTACAAACTGCTGGAAATTCGCTGTATGTGACCCAGAAACACCGTTGAAGAAAATTCCACCATCGAAGTTGTTCTGAACAAAGTCGATTCAGCGATAGAGTAATGTGTCCAGAGGTAATCACATGAACTCACGCTGAACCCTGCAAGTTCCGGTGCCAGGTGACTGAAATCTGGTTCAGCAATACCAAAGGGGAAGCTATTAGATAGCTATGAATGATAATCAATATCACGTATTTCCGGAACAAGCTATAACACAATCGAACTCACATTGGATGTCCCTGTGGCCTCACTTGGTCCATCCGGTATGCTAGAACAATCCCATGCAGCCTCAGAATCACTTGCGGGTGGAAAAAACAGAGGTTGCTAACAAACAGGTCAGTATATAGGGGGTTCTCAATGATTCCGATATGTACCGTCACGGAGTTCACACCCTGGCAACCGTTCATGCCAGCTTCGGGATCATCAGTGGGAGCATGCTTATCGCTAGGACCTGAAACATCATCATCGATGTCACCATCAGGCTCAAATACAGAAGGAACAGGAATATCAGGCTCTCCACGTGAACGTGCGATCCACACAAGGTTCAGATACTCGCCACTTTTCACATCGCGAGGCTGGGTGTTGTAAGCGGAACTGGGAGCAGGTGTCAGTATAGGTATGGTCCAATAATAGCACGGCGACATACAATTTCAGAGCCTTGTAATCAAGCTGGTTGTTGGATACAAGGATTGTAGGCTTAAACTTCGTGCGGTGACCTTTGCGTTCAGCAGAAGAATCCCCACGCAATACACACCAGCGGCCAGGACGAATAAGGTCCTTGAATGCATCCTCGATCAGGCTGATCACCACAAAGCTTGTTGCCTTCTTAGGAACTTGCACCTCACGCACGAAGCGAGCAGTACGAAGTGCGATAAATCTGTAGTTGGCATATTTGTTAGTTGGATGTGAGAATATGAATTGAAATGAGAACAGACGCATGGGTGCTGACATGTTCAAACTTCGCAGACCACACCACTGACGTCTCACTGACTAGGGTGATCATAAATACTGTGAGCGAGTCGTCGTCCTGGGAGGAAGAAGCCTTTGTCTTCTTCGGCTGCTTGGTACCAGATGTCGAATCAGATTCGGTAGTAGTTGCAGTCTTCTTCCGCTTCTTGGGTGGCATCATATCTTTGCCATTCTTGCTGATGATCGCTGAAATCTGGCTCTATGGAAATGTCAGTTTCAGATAATTTTTCCGGACAGTGGAGAAAAGGGAATATCCTTGCCTTTTGGGCTGGATTGAATGGCTCTCCGCCAATAGTGGGGTCGTTCATCATGGCATGGGTCATCGCCTCATGGCATGGGTCATCGCCTCATGGCGTTTTTTTGCCATGGTTGAAAACGTTAAGCCAGATTGGACACTGTCCTGAGTCGGAGTGTCGTTGGTATGGCTTCACAAGGCTGGGTTTCCTACGGATGAGCAAGAGTTGTAGATAGCATCCTTCGTTGCATTGACATCGATCTCTGGCCTAGCGCTATTGAAAGTTGGCTGAAGTTTGATGTCAATCATGGGCATACTCCGAATTCAGCAACACGAAATACCTTGATATTCCCTGATACTGCCTCAGAGCCAGAGACGGTGACATCGACAGGAGAGAGCTTCGGTGGTGCCTTGAGATGATCCTAGAGTCTATTGAGAAGGATCATAGTATCAAAAGAAATAATCAGCTCACTGGTACATCCTTGATATGAGATGCCGCAGGACATTTGCAGACCCCGCAAATGCTCAACACTGGGACACTATCCAAATTTCCATCGATGGTCTCTGTAGCAACAAAGCCGAATCCGCAGTAGGAGCTGCATTTGGTGGGATCATTGCGGCAAGAGCCAAGGTGGTCGATAGCAATATGTTGCAGCATTATAACACGCGAATTAATGGAGAATCAATAGAGGAGGGGCAGAGAGGTAAGAACGAAAATTTCAAGATTTTTGCGAGTGGCCTGGAAATATGTGCAAACAATGGTGTGCCCGTGGCCGCAGATAACGCCAGAGGGGTGTACCGTCGGGTAGTAGTGTCCATTGGGATCCGTAAAGTACTTGCAAATTGAAGTAGTGGCGGATCGCTAAGTAGTTGCAAATTGAGATACACGTGTCGCTGATTGTTAGAAAAGGGGGAAGTGGCTGTGTGAACCTAACCCTAGGAAACCACCTGATGGTGAACAAGCGCATGCATCAAAAGTAGTGCTGGGAACAATCGAAAGTAGTGGTGTCCTCCCTACAGAACGAAATAATTTTTGTACAGTATAACGCCCATATGATGTCTGTGCAAAGGCCAGGTGCAATAATGGCACGAGCAGTACGGGAGGACCAAAAATTCGATTTATCGTGGGGTTTTAGTTTGACCCATTCAGTGAGGCGGCAGGCAGGCGAGGATGAATCAGATATTGTGACACCAATGTCTATGGGTTCAGGTAGTGGGCGACATTTCAAATGCAGGCGGTCGACAATCTCCAGGCAAATAAGCACTAAATGTGCCCCGTCATCTACTAAGGCAGTCACATCAGAACGGGGTTCAATATCAGCCGGATTGCGGGAATCAACAGTACAATGCCACAAAAGATGTGGAACAGCAAATGGAACGGGCAGGGAAGATTTACTCACAGCTTCAGAGTCTACAGAAAGGTTGGCATCAGCTGTGGTGCCATCAGCATTGTCGGCTTCGAGAACAGACGAGCTGTTGACAGGGACTGCAGCGGCAATGGGCCATGCGGTCATCCCCAAGATCTGGACTGATGCGACAGGTGCCTGCGAAGGCGCAGCAGGAGCTGGTGCCAGGGCAGGAGCGGTAGCGGTAGGTGCAGTGGAGGTTGAGGCAGAAGCTTGAGCGTTGACTACAGCGATAGTGAATAAAGGTAGTCCTTTGGCCTTGTCCGCACGTCGACGAATAACCCACTCCGCCGTGCGGCGTTCATATCCAGCAGCAGGTGGAGCGCGTCCCTTGCATTTGCCAAAACCTTGTTCTTCTCTGGGAATGTCGATATCGCGGCATGCAAAACATCCGTCATTGGCAGCAAGAACAGCGCGTTCATCGTCACCAAGTTTACCCTGGTACTTATAGGTGAAGGTGTTGCCAGGAAGAGATGAGTTCGATGAGCTTGTGGTTTCCGAAGAAGCAGGTGCAGAGTTGGTACGACGGGGAGGGCGGTTGCTATGGAAACCAGAGGACATAGATGTGGTCGTCGTCGTGGTGGTGGCCGGCTGTGCTGCTGCTGCTGCTTCGAGATGTTGGCATTTGGCAGACTCCAGCGTCTCTACTACATCTGCGATTTCTTTGCGCTTCCGGCGTAGTTCATCGTCCTGTACCATAACAAGTTTCGTCCACGTATCCAGACTGGTGCATTCGCGGATCTCCTTGATGTTCCGAATGGCATCCTGTAGCGGCTTGGAGATTCGGCCACGTAAGTTTGCAAGGAGTGCAGCGTCATTGATGAATTCCGGATATTCCACCAGGAGGCTGTTTCGTCCTCGAAGGTGTTCAATCCAGTCGATAAAGTTGCTACCTTCCGGCATGGACTCCTGCCAGATCTCGTTAGCAAGGTCCTTCGTCCAGGTCGCCGGAAGGAAGCATTCACGAAATTCAGCCATGAACTGCTTGAAGGTCAGCTTCACCAGGCGAGCTTCGTGTTGCTTAAACCAAGTGACAGCCGGCAGGTTATCCGCGAGTCCTTCTACCAGGTTCGCTAGGATGTCCGGTAGGTCATGTCCTTTCTGGAGTTGGCGTCGAATATAATTTTGGCCTACATCGGCATACTGGCTCAGCATCTCCGGATCGCACAAGTGACCCCGTGTTAGTGTGGGAGGTGCTCGTCCACCGCCATGGGTTATTACGTGTGCTGCTTGATCTATAGTGGACATCTTTGAACTGGGGACAGGTGTGGGGCGTTCGGGGCTCGAAGAGTAGTACTCAGAGGAGGAGTCCGATACAATGATGTGTTTGGGTGGGGGTGCGGCTGGTGATCGTTCAGGTATATCTGGAGTGTTTGGTTTCTGCGTAGCTGGAGACTGGGGTGCTGGAGGCGTCTTCAGATGGTCTAGCGAGACTGACGAAGGAAAACTGGTCAAGGTGGAGGAGGACGGAAAGGTGGATATTGGCGGGAGAGGAGGATTGACAATGCTGGCGATGGGGCTGGCGTGTGGAGTTGTGAAGAGTTCTTCAGCAATACTGTCTTGTATGTCAACAGAAGACTGGCGGGGAGATTGAGGTCTACGAGAACGTGATCTGGGGTTGGGTACGACACGACCTATACCGCAAGATATAGATACATCAGCAAAAAACAGACTGTCGAGCGAATTTCACTCGACCTGGCAACGGCGTGGGTGCAGGTGTCATCTGGCGTTTTCGGGGATGCGTGCTGGCAAAAGGTGGGCTAAGCCTAACCCAGCCCGGGACCTCCCTCAGATCTCAGACACCAAAGACATCAATCCTGTCTCGTCTGCTCGCATGAACCAGATGATAGTCCACTCCCATCGTGAGCCCCCTCTTTCCATCAAATTTCAACATCCCTGGCAGCGCGTCCTGATATTGCCTGTTTCTCCCTCTGCTCTCCCTAATTGGATGATATAAAGTTACCGCCACTCGGTTCACAGAGAACAACACGTTCGAGACACTCTTCCTCGCGGTTATGGTGACTGTACTTGTAACTTCGTATGTCGCATCTTACTCGGCCCTTCTCTCTCTTACACTTCTTCTAGCATACGGTTCTCGTTCTCGTCCCTCTTGGTCTGTATCCTCTCGCCTCAAATCCTTACCTAATCATTGTCCACCGTACGCTCCAGCACGCACACATTCCTTCGAGCGTAGTTATGGCTAGCAGAGTGAGCGTTAACACTCACTGTCAAGCCAGGAGAAAATACACTTTTGTTGTATCATAATTGAGATTGAAGGAGGGCACTGCGTGTGGTGCTTGCCGCAGGGTACAACGTCGGAAAGTATCTGTGCGACCACAGACAAAAAGCCTAGTATTGCAACCGTATGTCTGCGCATGATTTCTCTTCGTGTCTGCTTATCACTTATCGAAATATAGTTCCGTGCGCACATTCAGGTTGCAATAATGGAAGAATTCGTATCCTGATCCTCGTCTCAGGTAGATCTAGCAAACCTTGATTTGTATGGCTCCTAGCCGTATGTATGGCAATTACCTCGTCCCCGTGACTTTGGGCTTCAGCGATGGCCAGTGAAAACTTTGTATTACGAATTCTTGTACGGTAGAATGCCATTCTGAGTCGCTGTGAGGCTTGAGGCTTGGCCTTCGAAACCCAGGAAAACTGGTCTAGGAGAGCTGTTTGCGGATCAAGCCGACAACTGTTGGTGCATCAGCCTTTGCCTGGTCACCGGACCTTACCCACACCACTACGAAATATCATGTATATACTCGAAGTTTCTATCTTACTAACTAAGCTACAATTTTAGGACACTCTTAGAACATACTAGAATAATTGTAGAGGTATAAAAGCCTCGCATTCATACTGGAATAGACTTAGATTATCCAATTACTCTCCCACTCATTACTACTGCTGCTCACAAGAGCTCATGGGGATATTGGAAAATCTTCAGGCTAATTATTCACAAGTATAAGTTTGATGGCATGTGTCTATTGTCGATATCACCCGGATTATACTTGAGCTAGTACAAATGCGTTCTTCAATGCTCACGCAGCACTAGAAAACTTTCATAATAGAGGTCTCATCCACGCTATGTATATCACTTGAATGTAACAGGGTCGAGAAAGACCAGGCAGGCGGAAAGGGCAAAACCAATGATCAAAGAGTGACAGAGGCTTTGCTTGGGCTAACATTCTACAAGGGAACGGAACATCTAGTGGTCGAGTAAAAACAATTATTTCGTCATCCAGAGACACAAGTAAAGCGGGAATCGAACGGGATAAAAAGCATAGGTACATGATTACCACAACGCTGAGCCATTACACCACAGCACCATAACTTTAGTCGGTATAATGTGAATGATCGAGCCGATGCCTGTGTTTACATCTATTGATCTCGCTGGGTTTTTCTTCCTTCCTGTTATCATCCACTCCGACCCTCGCACCCTTAACAAGGATCGTGACTATAGCTCTCACTTGCAAAGTTCAACCCTAGTCGACTTGTGAAGGGACTGCAGAAGTTCAGTGATACTGATTACAGAGGGATGGGGCATGATGGTCAGGTGTTAGACTGTTGAGGAAGAGGGCACGCAGTATGACGAGGGGTTATAAAGGGTGGACTGTGGTGCAGCGTGCAGATGGCCGTTAGCGGCGGAACTGCCAAGCTTGCTCAGGTACGAGAGGCTGAGAATACGACACCACTCTTCCGGCTGCTCAAATTCAAATCCGAGCCCGCCTCCACAACCTCGAGACACGCTCTAATTCGTCACGGAAATCAGTCCAGTCGCAACTCCGCAGAACGTGGTGCACTTCCACCTCTCCTCAACGTCCTGGTGAACCCGCAGCGCCTCCTGCAACTGTGAATCCTGTCATCCATCCGGAGTCGTTTCCAGTCTCTACTCTCGCCGATTTTGATGCCATAAAGTTCTGGCCACTTGTAATGCAAGCTTGCGATACCAAATGGTGGCATGTATGCTGTACTGGATAGCGACGCGTCAAGGATGTAGCAACAAGCGAAGTCGGAAGGGTGGTCACTCGCAACGAGCATGGTGAGCATCCTCCTTGGATGGAGTTATATGCTATCCTGACCATCCGCCCAGTCGCTGCCATCATGCGATTTCTCTCACCCCCAGGCCTGAAACACGACCATATTCTCCAGGCATGCGATGCCGAACACAGCACTAGTAGCCCAAGCACGCGCCCAGATACCGGATGTAACATGTAATCATTCCAGTCCCGTCTCCGTGCGCGAACCAGATCATAACCCTCTCTTCATCATTATTCAACCTCCTGAGGGTTCTGCCATTGTACATCCTGCTACCGCCCTTGGCTCTCCCTAATCGGATACTATCGAGTTCTGGCAACCCATTCCGCCATATACTGCACTGGGAATAAGGCATTCGAGACTGTCTTCCAGTACTTGCAGCGGAGTATGTCGCGTCTTACCCTGTCCTTCTCCCTTTCACAACATGATGCTCCGGCCACTCACAGCGCAGGCTCATGATCCCAGATGCCGGTGTCATGTCGGAAACCGGTCCGACAGGAAACACTAGGAAATCGGACCGAAATATGAGCTGAGTAAGCACTTAATAAGCTAGTCAGCTGCCGCAGGTGACACATCATGCACAGCAGACAAGCTGAGTAAGCACTGCACCACGACGCGCCTACTAGCAGGAATACTCTGACTAATGCTTATGCAGGAAGCCTGAAGGATGAGTAAGCTAAGTAGCTAAAATAGGACAGCTAACATGTATAAAAGGACCAGAAAAATTGGAATAAACAACTTTTACACACCACAGAGAACACAGCATTATATTCAGAACTTAGGCGGTCAGAAACCGCAAGCATTTTAGCAGTTACAAAATCAACCGGATTTTGTAAGATCAGTCAATAAACAGTCAGAGCATCAGTCAGTAGCCAACTACCGTACAGTTGGCAAAGCATTATTAGCAGAATCAAGAATCAGAGACCGAACTCTGATTATTTTCAGTACCAAAACCGTTCAACGTAGAATGCCCTTGGAGTCAAGCAGAGCATAGCATTCGTGCTGATTGTCCAAACTCACACCATTGTACTAATATTCACAGTACGATAAATTTCTAGTCACTCATAAATTCCCGTGACATAACTGGAGCCCACCGCGAGGGGGAATCAATCTGTTATTGACTCCCAAAAGCTTCAGAACTTACACAAACTCGAACTGATTACCTTCAGACCACACGAAGTATCCGCAAATACATACATTCAACAGTACAGTTATTTCAATGGCATCCGGAACAGAAGACGTTACAGCAAGTGCTTATCAAATGCCAGCCTTTCCAACTCAAGGCACCGTACCCCATACCACAACGAATCCGAGATTGTGGCATATTTGAGACACTAATCCTCAGAGTGGAGAAACCTCTGACTCGGGGGAAATGTTAAGCAACAATCAGTTAGAAATGGTCGACACGGAAGACCAAGAAGACACATTACCTACCTCAGTGAATCAGCCATCATCGAGAGCTCATCGCAGACCACCAGAATCGTCGATGCCAGGAAATTTGAGGCAAGGCTATCCAACGACGATACCATCAGTAAATCCTGCAAGTACGACAGGACTAGCACACGTACCTTCTTCATCGTACAATTCTAGCACTGTTCGTACACCGGACATGATGCCTTTATTAGGTGCACGATCAGCTCCTGCGAAATTTACAGGAAAATACGACACTGTAAAGAGATTTATACGTCAGTATAAGCAGATGTGTGCCGTGTACAACGTACCAGACAATGAGAAATGTCAACGAATCATTGACTACTGCTCCACCAGAGTTACGAGGTTCGTCGAAGCCCTAGACAGCTTTGTGAAAGAAGATTGGACTCAGCTCGAGAAGGATATACTCACCTATTACGATGCTGAGCTTAACGAGTCTCGATACCTCGTTAGTGACCTCGATACATTGACAGACCGATGGCGAAGTAAAGGGATCTATAATCTCAAACGCTTCAAACAATATGAGATCGAGTTCCTAACGAAGGCCAACTGGTTACTTCACAAGGGAAAGATTACACGAGATGAGCAACATACCAAGTTTTGGTATGGGCTCAATGGGAACCTCTGAGAGATAGTCGAAGCAAGATATATGACCTCGCATCCACGGTACGATCCACGCAAGGTGATTCCTCGAGAAGACGTCGCAAAGATAGTATACGCGATGTTTACTCGAGATCGTTTTGATGCAGATTTGTCAGCAAAGAAATCAAAAGACCGCCGAGCTAAGCTCAGAGAACTCTTGAAGATGTCGACATCCGAGGACGAGACTTCAAGTGAAGACGAAGACAGCGAAACCTCTGACTCGGACGACGACTCGGATTATGAAGACAAACAATGAAAATCTAGACGTCTAACCCGCAAAGAGAAGAAGAAGAAAGAAATGAAATCAAGGCGTACCTCAGCATATGATTCCTCTGATGAGTCCGGCAGTGAATCCGATGATGAGTCGGATGACGACGAGATCCGAGAAAAGACTAGGAAACGTCGGAAAGAGCAAGATAATCACTGGAAAGAAAAGCTAGAAGAGAAAGGTAAGTCCAGAGCCAAGACTAAGAAAGAACCCGAACCTGAAAAGACCCAAACAGACGAAGTAGAAGAGTTAATTGGTAAGCTCGCTAGGATGAAAGTGAGTGATACTGATTATGCACAGGTTTATTATCGAGCCTTGAAGATGGACTTGGCCATCGTGGACATCGTAGCTCCTCCAATTCGGAGAACAGGAGCTATATTTCCACCACCACAGCAAGCTAATTATATACCGCCTCCGCAATTTCGAGAGGCTGGAAGAACGACGATGGGGGGAATGATATGCTATGGCTGCAGAAGCAGGGAGCATATGATGAGGCTATGTCCTTCCATCAATAACTTGATCAGAGAAGGAAAAGCCCGTCGAGACGAAAGAGGAAGACTTACCTTCCCAGACGGAGCACCTGTCCGAAGAATCAGATCTGATACCTTCGTTGATGCTATCCGCAAGGCAACTGTAAGGACCAATCACGTAGCACTAAATGTGATGGGGACTTATTATTCCGACGAAGAAGAAGAATCATCAAATGAATATTATGACTACTACAACAGTGATCAGGAAGACGATAACGAAGAAGAAGACGAGTGCACGTACCATAGGCCCACTTGATCCTACGCAGTAGAAAGACGCATGGATGGTATTCCGAATCGGAATCAAGAATGTCGAGCAGTGCCAAGAGGGCCGCCGAACAGCACAACAGAGAAAGCCAAAGGAATGGTCCACGGAGCCACGAAGGCTTCACCGAGTAATCCATACGGAACCCGTTTGAATCCTAACAAAAGTAGGTTAGGCCCAGAATCAGTCATACCTCGAGAAGTAAGGAGGGAAAGAACCCCACCTCCTCAACCAATACCTGTTCAGGCCAGAGAACCTCGTGCTCACACTCCAGACGAGCCGAGAGATGTCGAAATGAGTAACCCATCGAATCCTGCAATAGTTGGACAACACGCAGAAAGTTCTAGGTCGATTCCTGGTGTTGATGCTGCAAAGACAAAAGTAGTAAGAAGCACGCCAATAACAGAGCGATACACACCGGGCAATCTGATTAAAACGACACTGAACACACCAGTAACTATGCCTATTGGGGAACTCATGGCACAGAGCGCGGAGCTTCGTAAACAAATGATTAAAGAACTGCAGACTCGAACCGTCAGATTTGACGAAGATAAAGAAAATGAAGCACCAAACTTACCACCTGATGTAATAAGAGTAAACACCTTGACATCGAAAGAAGGAAAGAAACCTGAAGAAAGGGCAGCGTTAGTCGTAATCAAGGTAAACTTAGGACTAGGGGAGAGAAAAATTTGGGTAAATGCTATTGTGGATTCCGGATCTGAAGTCAACATTATTAACAGACATGTGGCTAAGGAATTAAACAAAGAATACCCTGTGATGCCCTTAGAAGAAGCACATTGTTCAGACGTGAACAGAAATCAGGGAGTACTTACGGGAAAATTCAGCGACGTCTTGCTATCCCAAGGATCTGTAGTAACGAATGCCGTGTTATTTGTCGGAAGCTACAAAGTAAACTTTCAGCTGTTGCTCGGAAGACCGTGGATCCACGGCAACATGGTGTCAATGCATGAGAGAATAGATGGCACTTACCTGGTATATGAAGACCCCTCCAATTCCGGAAAACAGACTGAATTACTAGTAGTACCCGAGCCCTGGAACGTCCAGACGGAAGGTCCTATTCCATCATACTACATGGAACAGGAGGACTTAGAGTTCGAAGGCTCATGGAGACTACAAGATGGTGAAATAATAGTACCTGCAGGGGTGCCAGAGTATCAAGTATATATGAATAAAATAGCTCACCCTGGATGCTCTGAAATTCGAGAGTGCCGAGACGATGATGTTCAAAGTCTGGACAGTTGGAAATTGGACGAAACAGACAACAAGTCTTCAGAGTGTGTTGAAAGCTCGGTCAATGAAATGACGAGTACCAGCAAGAGTTCGGAGTCTGAAGAAGAAAGCCAACTAGAAGAACGTAGAGATATTGAAAGTCGAAGAGTAAATGCATACAAGGTTGCCGAATGGAGAGATGAATGTCTGGAAGGTAGCCCAGCCTTCGGACGGCCTATGTTCGACAACGACAGGCAGCGAACGGGTCGAGAAAAGGGATCAAACATATTTGGTGCTCTCGCTAACGAGCGGGAGCAGCGGAGTCTTCTAGGACTATTAAAATTCTTGCGCAGCGGAGTAAACCCAATGGACAATGTACCTTCAATTAAATTGAAGGTACCGGCCGATTTCCCTAAAAGTAACAATCAGATAACACTATACAATCGCATAGAGGGAGAACACGTGCACTTCCCTCGTAAACAATTGCCGTTATGGTCCATTCTAGGAGTCTGCGAGCCAGAAGATGAAACAGCAATTAAAACAAAAATGTGCTCACCTAGGGACGTGTATGACGCGTTATCCGCCGAGATTCATCATCAGGTAAGCCAAATACCCTTACAGAGAAAGAGAGCGAGCTATAAAAACGAAGACGCGAACGAGGATGAGAGTATTAACACAATAGCTAACATCAATAACTGCCAAAATCAACAATATCAAATCATTATGTCATCACCTTTGCACAGCCAGGCGACCTATAATGGGATTCGCCAGCGAGTGCGATGTCTTTGCTGTCACAACGATGGCGGGGTAACGCCTCCCCTCCCGCCAAACGATGTGCCACACCCGGATGCTCTGCACAACTCTGCTGTCTACTATCCACTCCTTCTGTCTGTCGCTACCGCCCAACTCAACTACTTGTACAACTCACTCGCTCATCCGAGCATTAGCGGACCACTTTCCTTTCATGCAGTCGTCTTATCTTCCAATTATGTGCTACGCCTCGAGACAGACGTTATCTGAGGACAACGAGTTCAGCGTACTCATGTCTTCAACGCCAACTTGGCCGAATTGCAAGGACCGGACGGCATTCCTATCTCTTCACGTGTAGGCCACGCCATCATTTTCTTTTTCCCTGGAGAACATGAACATGAGTCTGAGGCAGATGAAAGTTGGAACCACTTACTGAGACCACAGTTAGCATGTCTTGAACCTGAAGATACTGGACCTGCTACCTCAGCTTACGAAGAAGATAGCGATGATGAAGATAACGCCAATGGGCCTGGAATACTTGCCCAGAACCAGGAAGGGGCTAGAGAAGATGAGGAAGAAAGAGATGAAGATAGAGGAAGAGGAATGCTTGCCGTTCAATGACGAAATTCGTGCCCTCTGGATGCTAGTGTCAGCGCAGGGACACAGCGACCCTTACCTGTGAACGAGACGCCTGAAGAGGGAGAGACTCGGGAGGACGGATCCCAGTCCAACGACACTGTCCATTCTTACGTCTACCGTATCCGTTATGACTACCAAGGCAAGCTCATGCAGAGCAGCCATACCTTCCCTATTCCTCGTGCCATACGACGTATACCACCACCTCCGCATCCCGCGTTACCTGCAAGCTTCGTCTTACCAGTTCAGCAAATAATTTCCGTCAAGCATGACGAGGCGAGGGGAGTCTTTCGTGTGCCGAGAGACTACTCAATGAGGATGAGTATCGATGAGGACGAGTTGAGGATTTTGAAGAGAGGACTGCCTGTCTTGATAGCCGTTCGTTTGGATTTCATCATGCGCACCCTCGTACGAGTATCGAACCAACGAGGGAGCGCACTCATTCTTCACAACCCAGTCTATCTCGACATGATGCAGAGAATGCTGTATCCTCGTCGTGTCGACCTCTATTCGCCTCCCACGGCCCAACCAGTCATCGAGATGCCGAAATTCCGTGCGACCGTGTTCGTACTTGAAACGTACAAGCCCACTGAAGTAAATTCTAGCGAGTCGGCATCAGAAGAAGATGACGAGAAGGATGAGAAGTCGAAGAAGAGAGAAGAGGACGAGGAGGGCGATCCAGAGAGCCGGGAACGAGACCTGGCCACGTCGAAGAAGAGGCGTGTTGAGACGGATGAGGACCAGCTCATGTACCCAGCATCTCCCTCAGCTGTTCAAGGTACAGAGCGATACCTTTCACTTGATTTAAGTGAAGAACTAACAAAATTCATTAATATCACAGACGAGAATTTTCGTCCCCCTACACCTATTCCATCCTTACTGCTTCAACCTTCCGCTCAAGACTCGCCTAGCGAAGAACTAACGTCTACACTCTCTCAGATGGAAGAAGATACTGGGGAGATCTCAGCGTCGTCTCCCGACCCCAAGATCTTCACGACACAACTTGAAGTAATCCAGATCCCGCCTGCTGACCCCGACATCGAGATGGGCGAAACGACGGGACGACTTACGGTAAACCCACTCGTTGTGGCACCCGAAGGACAATATCGAGGGCGTGCAACGCAGACTCAGGAAGAGGAGGAAGAAGAAGCCTGGAGCTTGGACAGCACAGGAGACGAGTGGAATGGGTTCGATAGTGAAATGGAGAACCTAACCTCTACTGAGCCAACACTTTCCGTGGACCCCAAGCTTACAATGACATCCATTCCTACTATGCCAAATTCCTCCATTGCGTCAAGTACAAGTCTCTCTCCTCTATACGCAAGTACTCGATCCTGGGACACCGAAGTAGAGACTTCGAGTGATGAGAGCAGGTACGAGACGTCTGATTCGTCTCCTCCCAGCTCTTACAGCTCAATGCCTTCCCTAGCTAGCGACGACTCGGACGCGTACTCACCCTTGAGCCTGGAAGAGCTTACACGTGGAAATCTCAAGTCCAAAGTCTATGTCATCGAGCCTGTACGTCTCAGCAGGGAGACTATGGCTGCTCTCGACAACTTGCCGAATGAACCCCGACACTTTGCGTGTCGAACCTCGAATGCTGTGGGACATGGAGACAGTAATGCCCTCACCTATGCCATATGCCAACATGACGATGCAGGCAATTTAATCTATGAGCCTGCACCTGCTCTCGACAGACTACCCTTACCATTTCCCTCTGAAGGCTTCGACTCAGAATTCACTTTCGAAGTCATGAAGTGTTTCCAAGGTCCTTGCGATAACTCTCCATTGCAGAATGGCAGCGGAAACGAGCTTGTCAACCCTTTCGGAGCTGCATACGACTCTTTACAAGGCCTCGATGAGTACAAGATTGCAACTCTAGCTCTCAAGATCCATGAGCTGATAATGGACCTCGACGTGGACCTTGACCAATGGGACGGGATGCATCCACGTCTCACCGGGAAAGACCTCGATAGCATATGCCTCATTATCTTCCGTGCACACACCGAACGTGCCCGTCTCATTGATATCGGGGAATGGAGACGAAATCTTATTATGCAAGGGATCGCGGACGCACCAGCATCTACTAGGATTGTAAGTTTCAGTGATGCGGGATGGACGAACACGCGAGTTAATGGGAATTCGCAGATGAACCCAGAAGACGATTCCGAAGCCTCTTTGCCACCCTCACCCCGTGTGCTTATCTTCCTGAGATCCGAAGAAATGAAGCCCGGCAAGGAGCATATTGCCAACGCCTTACGCAACCGAGAAACCTTGGAAACTTACAAACCATTGGACGACGAACCGGCATATTCCTTTCTGGACCCCAATCAATCTCCCTTTTCTGAAGTCTTCAAGAACCCCTGGATCCCCATTATCGCCCACATCCGCATTGTCCGACTTTTCATTCATCGGCTACTTGGTCTCATTTGCAAGCAATTTCTTACTATGCAGTGGCGTCGAGCTGTTGACAGGCTTAGTCCTGAAGACAAAGCTCGCCACTTTCTTTACTACCACAACGACATCTTTCACTACTTGCTACCCAGTCTCCCCTCTTACTTTCAAGGCTTTCATCACCGGTGCCTTCATGTCAACCCCTCGACTAATACCCTACGGGTCGATGTACTACCCCGTAACCCCCTCCTCACCGCCAACGAGGACAAATTCATCTTTCATGCAGCGTCTCTTTTCGAATTCGAAGGACGAGGTGAGCTCGCCAATGCTCTCCGCTTTGCCCACGCAGCCGAACCAATTCTCCCTATGGAAGTTCGTGCTTTGTTCACTCAGGGCTATGCTGAGCCCGTCGAGTACTACGACTGTGAGGGACGGCATTGTGCCTTCCGTGGTGATGAACTTGATCTATGTTATTATTCTGAGGAAGATTAAGCCGGTATTTTCCATCACTTCGTTCCCCGCAAAACCCCTACTAAAATTCATTCCAGATTTTGAATTCAATCTTTCGTACCTTTATTTAAACTCGACTCGACGTACGCATCCTTTTAATACCTTAACGTTTATTTACGCGCATTCGGACTACTTCAAATTCGACTTCTACTCTCGTTGCCGGACAGTTCAAAACATTTTGACTTCGCTCACAGCCCACTTACTATTAGCTATGAAACACGCAATTGCTACCTACCTCTTCCCCGCAGTACCCCGTTTTACTTACATGTTTGTATCCAAGCCCCACTCATTCAAATCAATCTTCGTTGGTTACTTGCAACTGATTGAGAGCGAGCCTAGACTTGAAAATGATTCCGAGGCACCACAAGAACAGTTAGAAAGGCCGAGGCATCGTCTAAAATGCCACCAAGAAGTGATTAAGTTGTCTGATAAGAATCCTATTCTGCGGAACAGACAGGACCTGTCTGATGATGACTTAGATCGGGTGTACACTTTGTCCGATTACCCCTTTGAGGACGATGACACAATCATTGTGCCTGCGGAAGAAATTGAACAAGTTAAATCAGATATTTTGCAAGAACGAGTTCATGCATTCACTATGTACAAGCGTGTAGACCAGAAGATTAAACCTGTGTCAACTACATTTCCAGAAGAGGCACGTGTTCGAAGAACTATACCCAGAGACCCATTATTATCCCTTGTTCCATTACCAATACGGCTGCCAGACTTTATACCAACAGCCCGACTTACTGAAGAAAGAATGAGGGAATTAAATGTTAATCAGGATGGATTTCTGTGGCCAGAGGAAGAAAAATTATTTAAACATGTGCTCATGCTGAATGAAGCAACCCTGCCTTATGATGAAAAGGACAGAGGAACCTTTAGCCAAGAATATTTTTCAGATTACATTATGCCCGTCGTATCGCATGTCCCATGGGAATTCAAGAACATACCCATTCCCCCAGGAATACGAGATAAAGTAATGGAATTCTTAAGAAGCAAGATTGAAGCAGGAGTATATGAAGCCAGTCAATCTTCATATCGTAGCCGATGGTTTTGTATTCTCAAGAAGAATGGTGCCTTACGTTTAATCCATGACCTTCAACCCTTGAATAAGGTGTCAATACGGGATGCAGGACTTATCCCTGAACCAGATGAATTCATTGAACCATATGGGGGATGTCAATGTTACACCATGTTTGACATGTTTTGGGGATTTGACGCTCGTAAAGTGGATCCTAAATCCAGGGACCTGACAGCCTTCTACATGCCACTGGGATTGTTACATATTACTGCGCTTCCAATGGGATATACAAATTCTCCATCAGAATTCCAGAACTGTATGGTTTTTATTTTACAAGAAGAAATTCCACATATAGCCAATATATTTATTGATGACCTACCAATCAAAGGACCTCAAACGTGTTACCCTGATGCAGAAGGAAAGGCCATGACTGTAGAGGGAAACCCTGGCATTCGTAAATTTATTTGGGAACATGCCAATGATGTTCATAGGGTTATGCACCGGATTAAGTGTGCTGGAGGAACCTTCTCGCCAAAGAAGACACAAATCTGCCAACTGCAAGTGACTATATTAGGCCAACAATGCTCAGTGCTGGGAAGACATCCAGAAGACAGCAGGGTAATGAAAATCTTAAAGTGGCCACCCTTAACAACCGTAACACAAGTTCGAGGCTTCCTAGGTCTTTGTGGAACAGTGCGCATATGGATCAAGGATTATTCCAAGATTGCTCGACCCTTAGTAGAGTTGACCCGAAAGGATGTTGAATTTGAATGGGGAGAAAGACAAATCCAAGCATTTGATATCCTGAAACATAAAGTGTCTACAGCTCCCGCATTAAGAACAATCGACTACAAGTCTGGACTACCCACATACCTTTCAGTAGATACCAGTCAGAAGGCAGTCGGATTTATTCTGTCACAAATAGATGAAACAGGGAAAAGACGACCAGCTCGGTATGGGTCTATCCCATTGAATGAAAGAGAAGCTAGGTATTCACAACCTAAATTGGAACTGTATGGATTGTTCCGAGCCTTGCGATCATGGAGAAGATTTATCATTGGACTGACAAATTTGAATGTGGAAGTAGATGCCAAGTACATCAAGGGAATGTTAGAGGCCCCTGATCTGCAACCAAATGCAGCAATGAATAGGTGGATTCAGGGAATTCTATTGTTTGACTTCACACTCATTCATGTTCCAGGAGTTCGATTCAAAGGACCAGATGCCTTGTCACGACGTGATCTTGCTTCAGATGAAGAAGAGCCTCCAGAAGAATATGATGATTCATGGCTAGACGATGTGGCCCTACTTACTCACTTTCCAGACAGACGACCTCTCCAACAGTTTAACTCATATCTTTTCCAACAAGCTGATACGCAAGAAATAACCACTCAGAAGGATCGACTAACAATCCAAGATCAATTATTAATAAAAATTAGGAATTTTCATGAGACCAAAGAATTACCAGAATTCGATAACAAGCATGCTGAAAGAAGATTCCTAAAGAAAGCTAATCAGTTCTACCTGTCACAAGACAAGAAATTATTTCGTAAGAATGGAGACTAAATACCAGCCCTTGTCATATTGGAACCAACTTCCAGAGAGAAAATTCTGACAGAAGCACACGATAAATTAGGACACAAGGGAGAACAAGCCGTGTATGATGTTCTCAGGATATGGGTGTTCTGGCCATACCTAAGGTCCCACATACATCAATACATTGCATCCTGTCATGAGTGTCAACGGCGGAAATTAACACGAATGGTATTACCTCCTACAGTGTCTACCTCTGTAACCATCTTCGAAAAAGTATACATAGATGTAATGGTAATGCAGCCTCCAGCGGGAGGATACCAATACATTGTATGTGCTAAAGATGATCTGACTGGAGTAATCAAGGCTAGTCCCTTAAGCCAGAATAATTCTAGCCAGATAGCCCATTTTTTATGGGAAAAGATATATTGCCGATATGGTGCAGTAGGACATGTTATAACCGATAATGGGCCAGAAGTTAAAGGAGCATTTCAGAGATTAATGAAGAAACTAAACATTCCACAAGTCCAGATATCACCCTATAATAAGCGAGCCAATGGTGTCGTAGAACATGGACATTTTGTTCTAAGAGAAGCAATTGTTAAAGCATGCCCAAAAAGGAAGAAAGATGGACAGATCAAGAATTGGCACCTATACATTGACATTGCCGTATTTGCTGATCGGGTAACTACAAGTAGCGTTACAGGATACTCCCCTTACTTTCTTTTACATGGTGTGGAGCCCTTGTTACCAATGGATCTGGCAGAAGTGACATTCATGGTAGAAGGCTTTCGATCAGGGATGGATACATCAGACCTTCTAGCCCTCAGGATCCGACAACTTTCCCAACACACTGCCGACCTCAACCATGCAGCTGCTATGCTCAAAGCTGCCAGAATCCGATCACGAGAGCAATTCTTGACACGATTCAAACATCGACTCCAGAAATCTGAATACCAACCCGGTGAATTAGTATTAGTACAAAATAGCCGACTGGAGGCCACTGTTAACCGATTTAAGACTGAGCCTAGGTATCTTGGACCCTATGAGATAATTAGGAAAACAGACGGAGGGGCATATAAACTGAAAGAGCTAGATGGAACAGTTATTTCCAGAAGTGTGGCTGCCTTCCGACTGCTGCCTTATATCACCTGAGGATCTCCCGAATTTCACAAGCTGATCGGGAAGAAAGAGAACTTGGAAATGTCAGACCAAGAGGACGACTACGCAGGAATAGATAATGAATCTGACATAACAGACATGGAGGAAGAATAATGCCACAAGTCATCGGAACCTATAGCAAGAAGACCGCACTAGATAAGGGAGAGGACCATGCTGGTCTAACGTAAAGTATTCAATCAACCCTTCACACCTTTCATTCCACCAATAAGCGAAACGGAAGATGCCGCTTCCCTTCGCCAACACCCTGTAATAATGAATAATGCCTCCTTGCCTTCACTCCTTCAACATCGACAATATGGCTGCTTACAATGTTGTCCACAATGTTCCCTTGCCCTATCCCTTCAATGGCGAAAACGATACCCATATACCATCACTTCATGCTCCAAGTGTTCTGGGAGACAGACGTGAAGGCCTCGACGACGATATAGATGTGCGACAGGGGGAGCTTAGAGATTTGCTTGGTCACAGTGGTGAACTAGCTGCAGCTGAAGTAATTGCCAGAATGGAAGTGCGTAAAACCTGGCCCTTGCTAAATCAAAGGATTTTAACAAATGGCTAAATGCGTAGAACCTTTTTACTCATGCTTTTGGCAACACAATCCTTGACAAGCTCCCTGGCACCATATACACGGAAGTCATAAAGGGAGATGAAGGAGCTGAACCACCTTGCCTGAGCATACGAGGACCTGACTATCGTCTGCCCCACTTCCAGGACTATGAGGCCCGCTGGATCGAAATCACAACTGTTCGGGAAAGATGGGGAAGAGTTCGCTACCCCTTCATTCACACCGTTCACAATGAAGAGAAGCTTACCCTTGGGGGGAGTGTGTTTGAAAGGTCTTGGTATGGGAATGGCATTATAACTGAGATTCTCCTGGTGACCCCGTCATATGTCGTGTTCAACGGTGAGTTCAGAAACACCGGATACCTCCACCCCCCCTTCTGTGTCATCTTCATTACTTATGCACATCACTTTCATTTCCGACATGATCTCAGGTGCCAGAGGATGCTCAAGGCAATGCGGCAGGCGATGAACCCATGGGGAAGGGAGGAGCTTGAAATTATTCGTGCCGACGTGGAACAAATCCTTCAACTCACCCTAAACAGGTATCATTCCAGCCTCAGTAAATATATGTTTTCCTTGCTTACCCCAACGGTATGAACCAGAGAGCCTTTTAACTCCTTCCATCGACGACATCCTGTATTTTGGTCCACCATGAAATTGTTTAGCTACGTACTTTTGGTTTGCAATCTGCTGGTCATCATTCATCACTTCTTGCCGTTTTTCATTTACGTATTAATTCGAGTCCTCATGTTTCTATATTATTAAAAGCTGCCTGTAAGTAACCAAGGACGGTTACATTTTCTTCGTTCCCCACGGATGTCATGTCGGAAACCGGTCCGACAGGAAACACTAGGAAATCGGACCGAAATATGAGCTGAGTAAGCACTTAATAAGCTAGTCAGCTGCCGCAGGTGACACATCATGCACAGCAGACAAGCTGAGTAAGCACTGCACCACGACGCGCCTACTAGCAGGAATACTCTGACTAATGCTTATGCAGGAAGCCTGAAGGATGAGTAAGCTAAGTAGCTAAAATAGGACAGCTAACATGTATAAAAGGACCAGAAAAATTGGAATAAACAACTTTTACACACCACAGAGAACACAGCATTATATTCAGAACTTAGGCGGTCAGAAACCGCAAGCATTTTAGCAGTTACAAAATCAACCGGATTTTGTAAGATCAGTCAATAAACAGTCAGAGCATCAGTCAGTAGCCAACTACCGTACAGTTGGCAAAGCATTATTAGCAGAATCAAGAATCAGAGACCGAACTCTGATTATTTTCAGTACCAAAACCGTTCAACGTAGAATGCCCTTGGAGTCAAGCAGAGCATAGCATTCGTGCTGATTGTCCAAACTCACACCATTGTACTAATATTCACAGTACGATAAATTTCTAGTCACTCATAAATTCCCGTGACACCGGCAAGTATGCTGTACCAAATAATGACGCGTTTGAGACTAGGGATATAGTAACAGAACCCGTAATTGGTATGTAGTGTTTTATCTGGTCTTTCTCTCGCTCATTTTCCTCTTAGAATATAATCTTCATTACCCATCCAAGAAGTGCATACACTCAAATGGCGGTTGAGCGTATCGTGGTCCTCGAAGAGATGTTGAGACGAGAGATTTTTCGGTCGGGAGAACGACCCTCGGCATTCTACAACATAGGACCTGGTGTGATCGTCTGGCGTTCAGAAACGAGATTTGATGGAGCCAAAGATTGGAGGGATACCACAACAATGAAGTGCAGAGCAGGATGAGGGCAACATATCTCGAACTTTAAGCATGCGTACAGTGGGTACCGGTGCAACTACAAGGTTTACCTAGGAACCAGAGACGAGGGCACAAGGGCATGCAACAGGAAGCGAACGGCATGAAGGTGGCTTCCTCTGCCAGACTCACAACGAGCATGGTGAGCCTCCTCCTGGGACAATGTAATACACCATCTTGACAGTCCGTCTAGTGCCTGCCATTATATTTTTCCTTTCACCGCTGCAACACGACCTCACTAACATTCTCTGGCCCATAATGCTGAACACGGCACCAGCATCCCGGATGGACTTCGCTTCACTAGCTTCTCCGTGCCAAACTTAATTCCCTGCCATTTCTCGGCCTCCTGATATGACCGTGGTGCCTCCCGCCGCTGTACATCCTGCCAGCATCCGCTCCGGGTGCCTCCCCTCTCCTGATATGATACTTAGCGTTAGGGTAAGACTCGCTCTCAAGCCGGCTCTTACGCCATCATCATGGAGATTAGAGGAGTACACTGCGTATATGCCCGTTGTGGAATGCAAGGTCAGAAAGTATATGTGCGACTCTGGATGATATCGACTGGACAAGCGGTCAACAATGGTATGTCTTCCATTTCCATTTCCTGGCGTGACAGCTTGCTAATGTCTAATTATAGCATATATTCATGTAGATACCCTACTGAACGTGAACACGCACTCATCTTATTGAGGTACATCTACTCTGAGTGTCTTGTCTCCAGCATCAGTCCACCGCAAAGTCATATCGCGAAAGCTTTCGCTCAAGAACGAGCAGACCTGGCCATACATAATCATGAACGAAATGCCTTGTAATTGGATGGGATGGGCCGTGAGAAATAAGCGCACCCACACAGCACTAACGGTACAGGTACTGAGAGATGGAGGGGGGGAGGTATTTTAGCAACGCCAGTCTGTGCGACTCTCCCATGTAATATCACACTGAAGGTTGTCGTAGTCTGTTCTTTTTATCTGGATCGTTCGATTTTCGGATGATACACACTCGGAACTGGGTAGATTGCGTTTTTATCATATGACTGATAATCGATTATCCTTTGTTTTTGGCACCGTATATAGATACAGTGCTTACACGGTGTAAAAATTGTATCAGCGCATACATAGTGAGTCTACAAGTGCCTCTATGAACAGCATTAAATTGATTTGACTCGTGCAGATGTATACCTACTTAGTTCTTTTATCCTACGCCAATAGTCAGTTTAGCGATCGCCAAAGACGCTATCTCATCTTGGTACCGTTGTTGTACGCATAAATGATAATTTCTTTTCATGTCTGCTTATCACTTATTGAAATATGGCTGCGCACACACAGCTATGTTTCAATGATTGGACAATTCGTATCCCAATCCCCGTCTTAGGTATTTCATATGAATCTTGACTTGTATCGCTCCTAGCCCGTGTACAGCGATTGCCTCCTTCCCATGATTTTGGGATTGAGATATGGTCCAGACTTCCCATCACGAATTCTTTCTTGTACATTACAATACCATTCCGAGACGCTGTGACAATTGAGGCTTGACCTTCGATGCATCACAATGTTGCAAAGGCATAGGAAAACTGGTAGAGGATGGCTCATCGGGATATCGAAAATTATTTTGCGTACTTACTGGCAAGGATGGGTTTCATGGAGTGTGCATATCGTCACTATCACCCGGATTATACTTGAGCCAATACAAATGCCTTCTTCAGTCCTCACGCAGTACTGGAATACATTTAGAAACAGAGGTTTTGTCCACGTGGGATGTATCACTTTGAATGTAACAGGGTCCATGTAGAAAGGGAGAAACCAACGATCAAAGATTGAGAGATGCTTTCCTGGACCTAAAATTCTACAGTGGAATTCAACTTGACCTCTATTCTACATCCATTATTCGAGGGAAAAATCGATTTCCTCATCCACAGATAGGACCTCAGTGGGAACTGAACATGATAAAAAATATTATTTATCAGTTAACGCAATGCTGAGCCATTACACCAAAGCGGCACACTTTTATTCGGTATAATGAGCATGTTTAGCCTGATACCCATATTTACATCTATTGATCTCGATGGGTTTTTCTTCCTCCCTATCATCATCATTGACATTTGATCATAATTCACTCCAACCCTCGCACCCTTAACAAGGATCGTGACTATCGCACGGGAGACAAACCGAGCATCGGAAAATCTATAGTTCTCGCTTGCATTTCAACCCCATCGGGACTGTCAACGCTCCAAGATGCCAGTAACCGAGGATGTTATGTGATGGTTGGGTGTTAGACTGTCCGAGGAAAGGACGCAGTGGCATGCAGAGGGTGGTTAACGGTGAACTCTACTAAGATTAAAGACTAGAGGCTGGGGAAAGACGAGAGCATGACAGTGAACCCTAACCGACTCCACCTCCACATTTTCGAGGATGTGATCAAAAGTTGTCAGAGGAATCTCGGCGCATGATCTAGATATATGCCGTGGTAACCAACCCTCTTTGGCCTCAACGTCCTACCGCCTCCGTAACTGTGGACCCTGCCATCCCTCCGACTCGTTTCCAACCTCTGGTCCCTCCGAATTTCATGCAATAAAACTCCCACGAATCTCAGCGAAGGCCCATGATCTCAGATAGCGGTAAGTATGCCGTACTGGACAACGACATGTTCGACACTCAGGCGGGAGTATAGTAATTATACTCGTGACTAGGTATGTCACGTATTACCCAGCTTTTCTCTTGTTCACATTCCTCTTAGCATATAATCCTTGTTTCCCATACAAGGAGTGCCTACACTCAGAACCGTAGTCGGACGTATCATGGTTGTCGAAGAGGTGTTGAGAAGAGAGATTTTTCGGTCGGGAGAATGACCCTCGATGCTCCACAACCTACGACCTGGTGTGATCATCAGTCAATGGAGCCAAAGATTTGAAGGAGACCATGGAAACGAAATACAGAGCAAGAAGAGGGAAACATATCTCGAGCTTTAAGCGTGTGGGGGTGCGTAGCCTCGCAACTACAAGGTTTACCTAGGAACCGGAGACGAGGATACAGGGGCATGCAGCAGGAAGCGAAAGGCATGACGATGGCTTCTTCAGCCAGACTCACAATGAGCGTAGTGAGCTTCCTCTTGACAGTCCGTCTAGTGCCTGCTGTCATGTTATTCCTTTCACCGCTTCCACAAGACCTCATTTAACATTCTCCGGTCCGTAATTCTGAACACGGCACAAACGCCCCGAGTGCGCCCTCAGATACCGGTTGATTCGTTCACTACTCCGCACCAAGCCTAACCCAGCCTGAGATCGATCTCAGATACCACAAATATTGGTCCAGTCACCTCTCCGCCCATGAACCAGATCATAGATGATAACCCTCCCTAGTTGCGAGCCCCTCTTTCTACCAATTTTCGACCTTCCTGACGGCCCATCCTGCTCTCGCCCGTTTCTCCCTCTGCTCTCCCTAATCGGGAGAGAACGCCATCAGACACCACAGGCTGATCCTGTCTTCAAGCTTGAACCAGAAGTTAACCCTCTGTCATCGCGAGCTTGCACTTTTTGCACCCCGGCAGCGCGTTCTGCGACTATACATCCTGCCATCGTCTGTTTCCGCCCTCTTCTCTCCGAATTGGGAACTTGATAGTTCCCGCCACTCGTTAAACAGAGAAAAACACTTTGAGACACTCTTCCCTGCGGTTACAGTGACAATACTTGCGATGTCATATGTTGTATCTTGCTCAGTCCTTC